AATACGCTACCATTAACCCCCCCCCCCCCATCTTAAAAAATTAGCAGTGCCCAGGGACTGAAATTTGGGATTTTTTCCGATGCCTAGAAGTCCCAGTCAAAAGAAATAATAACGTCGAGGACACGAGAATTGGTCAACGAAACCATCACATATCCTAATTAATTCCTCTATCAATTTCTTTACATTACCCACCAAATTTGAAAACCGTAACAATACCCAACCTAAACATCCTTACGATAGCTCAGATGGTCATCACTATCCGGGGAACCAAGGAAACATCCAGAACTGATCCTCTCTCCCTAAAAAGGGAATTGACATTGAAAACTCAATTCCGCAGCACATGTACCTGGTTAATAGACAGCAAGCAGTACGCAAAATCGAAAAATTAGAACCATACTAGCTCCATGGGCAGCACCCAGCAACTGATCCATTTGCCTTGAAGGGAAACACTCCCTCTCCCATCCAGTGTCTGGGAAACCGACGTTTATCGAATACATGTTGACAATCTTTCTCGATAACAGAAGACGCCGTGGAACCGAGGAATTATAATAGTTCTGCTGATAGTACCCAAGGACTGACCCTACTACCTTCAAGGTATCAACCCGCATTTCCTTCGAGTAACTGTGGAATCGATATTCGTCACATACACTTTCCTAGTAACTCGATGGAAGTCGGAGTGAATTTCTGGAGAGTGGTGTCACATATCCAAAATTTTGGAGATGCCACCACATCTCCCACAGGAGATACCGCGTCTCCCGCTGGAGACGTGACACCCACAGTCGGGGGATCCGGTCATTCACCACTGGAGATGTAAGAGCTCATTTAGAGATGCGCATCCCCCACACCCACACCCACATCTCTCGCGCGAGATGCGGCATCTCCCGCGGGAGATGTGGTGGTATCTCCAAAATTTTAGATATGTGGCACTGCTGATATGTAGAAATGATAGTTCTATCGATTCAATTCAATTGGAAGGGTTAAAAGCAATGTTAGTTATGTTTATTAGGTCAAAAAACTATCATTTCATATTCATAAGTATAGGCGCGTCAGTTGAAAGAATAGAGTTAATAGCAAAGATCGTTTATACGTGGAACGAGTTGATATCATCCATGGCATCATCGAAAAGGTTCAGTTTAAAAATATAACATATGGATCTTTTTTCGAGTTTAGACAAAAAGAATGATTCTTAAACTTATTTATCATTTTTTGTCAGAATAAATGAAACTAGTTTCAAGCGATTTAAGACATTAAGGCCAGTTTCTTTTTATTTTGAAGCTTCAAGTGTAAGTAAAATCTTGTCCGATCAGATTCTTTATATTTGATTCCTGAACTTAAAAAAGTCGGATTTTATACCAACAGGTGGCCATTTTTAGTCAAATTTTGACCCCTATTCCAGTAAAATACTTGAAAAACACGAACTAAAGCAAATTTTAAAATTCCGTTCTGACAAAAGTTTCGTATTGGTGCTAGTGTTAATTTAAAACAAGCGCAACTTTTATAGCTCTTCTACTGGCAGAGCCTTACGGATTCTCCTGGTGGCCATAATTCGTATGTAAATAAGCCATATTTTCGGCTCAGTTCAATATATCGGGCTGAAATTTTTATCACGGCTGTTTCTAATGACGACCAGTCATCCGTGAAAATTTCAGCTCAAACGGACCTTTCTAAGTGACAATTCAGATCTGTGAGGGGGGAGGGCTTAAGATAAATGCATAGATATTTTTCTTATGTTTATCGAGTAGGAAAAGCGATGACACATACTTCTAGCAACTACTCATATAGTAATTCTATTTATCTTCATCTATTTTAGCATTAGTAACAGATGTGTATTTTCAAACGAATATGTAGCTTGAAAATTACTGATTCCAAGAATACGAACATCCTCAAGATCCGCATCATATGAAATACGCTTCCGCAAAAGCACATTTCTGTTGTTTCCATATTATCAATCAGTCAGTAGTTAAGACAAAAAAAAGTAGCCTTGGTTTTCATTGAGAACGATAATGCAATATACATGAGATGATGATAGAATAGATAATCTAACTTCGGTTTGTAATCATCACAATTTTTTAATTCTAATCCTATCGTCTCATTAATACTCGACAACAACAGTTGTTAACAGGTTCGATCTCGAAAATATGTACTTCGTCGATGTTGCGTTTACGATAGTACAGCTACGATTGCATATGTTACTTTGCTTCTTCTAGTTGATTTTTATCGATTAGAAATAATTATCTTTATTCAAGTCCCCCATGGAGAAATGTTAGCGTTCGATTTGTTTAATTAATCCACGATCGAATATACATATCTATTCTTCCTGTCAACGAGAATAAAACACAACAATACACGAGAGAGAAGGCATTAGAGGATTGCACTCAACGAGTTCTTTTCTTCTTCGTCTTCTTCTTTTTTCGTCCAATTGTATATCTATCGGAGGAAGAGAAAACACTATATTTTATATTTAGAGTATAGTTCTAATAATCATCAGTAGCATACGTTAGAAATAATCAAGAGAAAATAACAAGAAAACTAAAGCGTAAGTAACTTCTTTGGTTTTTTCTTAAAAAAAAGAACTTCTTCAAGTGAGTATCTGATTGATGTATTATTTAAATTCATATGAATTAGTTTTATTTAGAATGGATCTCAAACGTACAATTATTATTCTGATGGCATTGGCTTGTATACTCGATTTGTTTGGTCTTATTCATTGCCACATTAACTATCCGCATAATTCATCATTATCTCCATATATAATAAGTTATAGCATTATCTTTCCTATTTGTATGTTAAGAAAAAAATTAGACTATCATTAGATATGACTAGTGGTGTTATTGGTTCTTTTTACTTAAATTTAGTATTGAGTTTAACTGCTTTTCTTCTCATCGAACAACTATTGATTACAGATGGAACTGTTGCACCTCTCAATCGTCTACGAACTATTTTTGCTGTTGCAGCTGCAGTTACTCTATTCTTTTTTGGTATCGGTACAGCTATTTTAGCTAGCCGTTGGTACGATGCTCCGACTCAAAACAGCTATCATCGTAGTAAGATTTTCTTTTATTTGATAACAAATTAATAAAACAGCCAATTTTTTTAATATTAGGTGCAGTCATTGCTTCTGCAGTTGCCTTTGCTGACATGACAGTTTATTTGGGAGAAACATTGGCTCGTAATCGTAAGACTCGCATCATTTGAATGACGAACAATTAATCAGAAAATAACAAAAACAAGAGAGAAACTTATTCTTTTTGTCGTAAATATTTCTATATTCTATTATTATTATTCTATTGAGTAACTGTTGTTATGAATATTTTCTTGATCATATTCTATTTTATCTTGCTTATCGAGACGTTTGTTTTATCGCTTGTCGCCCTGTTTAAACCAGAAAAAAAACATGAATTTCAGCTTTAATTTAATCAAACATAGTTGCTCGTAAGTCAAAAAACTATCACTAATGACTGGCCGTAGTATTTTTCACGATTGGAATATATTTTCGAGCTGTGAAGATATAAATGATAATATTCCTGTTAGGTCTCTTATGAATATTCATTAGAGAACTGCATATTTTCTATGATTAATTTCATTTCTAGTCTAAGTTGAATAAATAAAGCCAGGATAGTGCTGCTATGAAAATTTCAACTATTTTATTACATACAACTCGCTGCTCTCTCTCTGAAATACAACTATTTTTATAGCCGAGAGAGAACTCGTACGGCGGGAAAACACCAGAAATCACCGGAACGTGGAAGCAGTATTCCGGTCGAAAATCTTCAAAATTTTTCCTGCGAATTTCCAGCGGTTTTCTGTGCTTTCAGGCAGGAACACATTGGAAAATCACTGGAAAACAACCGAAAATTTCCGGCCGGAACACTCCTTCAGATTCCCGCGATTTCCAGTTGTTTGCATTCGGAATATTTTTTATTGCTGAGAATGACAAAAACAACGGCACATCTGATTACTAGTAATTAATTACAAGTATTAGCAGGAAATTAGGGTTTTGCTTAATGCCTCACAGTTGGACTAATCAACGAAATCGATGCAGTGCTACGATGTAGATTTACTATCTTAAGATCTATTAAATGATGAGGTCACGACAACATTAGGGGATGATTAAGTAGGTATATGCGGAATTATGTGCAGCGGTTGAAGACAAAGAGCAATCGATTATGGAAAACATTACTAATAGCAAACAGCTTTTCATTACTACATCTTACAGTTGTATATATTTCTTTTCTCATGAGAAATATTATACTTAAGTCGTAAGTTGCGATTCATAATTGTCATGCACGTGAGTTCGATGAAGAACTCTTACTGATTGATGCTTGTAATTAGAATTTCTTGCAATCTGTAAATGAATCCAAATTATCGCTACAATATTATAAATAGAACAGATTCATTTCACAGTGGGCATGCACTCAATTAACGCCGATACTCGAATTACATATTCTCCTATAGTGCCGATCGCCTATCAAACAGAAGTCTCACTTTTGTATTAGTTACACTACAAGCATCATGCTGTGAATGATTTTTAATGCAGATCTATTGCCTGTAAATTATTCTGAGAATCTTCTAATCTACATACGATGAAGGGTAGAGAAGAACAAAATAGAAAGCAGTGCTCCAGTTGATGGTGGGCACGTTTATATATTTTATCGAAAGCAATCATCTAGATTTTATCATCGCTTACATCATCCTCGCCTAATCACAACAAACCATGGCCCATATATTAGATTTTATCGTTATTTTTAGCAACGATGTTGGAGAAAGAAGCCCATTAGAAAGAGCTGTCGCTTCACTTTGCATCATGTGTAAGAATATTTTCCGCGATAGACAAAACAAAGCACAATTCCGTATCGGACGACATCAATCATTATATTTAATATTTGTCGTTTTATATACGCACAAGAACATAATCAAAGAAAAACAAAAGTCCTAAAAAAGCCAATGAAAAAATGAACACAAATATAAAGTTTTCTTTTTCATCTATATATATATATATACATGGATACACATGATCTACCATCACCAGGAGCGCATGCAAAGGCGCACGATTAGTTCAATAAACATTTTAAAGATTATCGACGGAATGCACGACCCAGCATATTTGACTAGACAATTATAATATCGCGCGTTAACTCGATCAAACAAGAATCACTGTTGCGTATATCATTTCTCATTTTATACAAGATAACCTTCCCTGTTCAACAATGATTTCGATGATATTAATACTAAATCAGATCGAATACGAGTTAAACTATCTAATAAACGGTTTTGTTCGTCAAGTGCGATGTTATCACCAAGAAGTATCGTTAAATCAGATGAATTAAAATGGCATATTTGCGAAAGATTTGTATATTCAGCATTCATAAAAAAACATATTAAACGATCAAGTTGAATATCATGGAGCCATTCAATTGTTGATGTGAATTGAGCAATGTTTGGTTGATCTGGATGATTCACAAAGGCGATTCTTTAAAATAAAAATCATAAGAGAAAAATTTCGTGAAGGCAACTTTTATTTAGGTCGTTATACCCAGTCTAAAGATAGTGTTTCACTCTACTGGTTACATGATTTTCAGAAAGTTATTAACTGTGCACAGCATAATATAAAAGACAGTTGTAATACAAGGTTCTCTATACATCAATGTCAGACTGTTTACAATACCCTTTCGATCTGAAATCATTATTTCTATATATTAGTACCAAATAGGGCGTTTTAAAGAATCATGAGTGTTCCAATAAAATATTATCTTTACCTTTGTTTTGCTATCGGAACAAGAAGATTTGGTAGTTGAATATATTGTGTTAGCATTTGTACAATATCATCGAATTTCGGTCGCTCTAAATAGTGTTCATTCCAACATGCTAACATTAATCTATAGATTACATCCGGACAATTCTACAGAACAAAAATCAAAGTAGTAGAAGTAAACGCTCGTGTTTTTTCTTCTTATGACAAACCATAGGCGGTGGAAGACGAAAAGAATTTTTGATTGTTTTAATTACATCTTGATTCGACCAATTCCAATAAGGTCGTTCACCGAATGAAACAACTTCCCAACATAATACACCAAAACTCCATACGTCCGATGCTGATGTAAATTTTCGATAATCAATTGCTTCGATAGCTGTCCAGCGTATGGGAATTTTCCCACCTTTCGTCGTGTAACCATCATCTGCATCTATTTCTCGACTTAAACCAAAATCAGCGACTTTACATATAAGATCTTTATTAACAAGAATATTTCGCGCTGCTAAATCCTATTGAAGCAGAAAAGCAAAAAGAAGAGACGAGAATCTTATTTTGTTTTAATTTTCAGTGAATTTACTCGATGAACATATTTCATTTCGGATAAATATTTCATTCCGGATGCTATACCACATAACATGCGTGTTAATTGGGACGCATCAAGACATTGTTTTCCTTCATTGGTCTAAAATAAGGCGTATGAATAGCTTTATGATTTGAAAATCTCATCTTTATTTACTCGTAGATAAGCATCTAAGGAACCATTTTCCATATATTCTGTTACTATCATAATCGGATGATGTTTGGTGACAACACCCTCCAGGTAGATCACATTTTCATTATCAAATTGTCCCATAATACTGGCTTCAGATAAAAAATCTAGGCGAGTTTTCTCTGTTGCACCTTGCTTTAATGTTTTGATTGCAACTGGAATCTCTTTCGTCGTACTACTAGTACGTAATGTTCCTCGGCAGACATCGCCGAATTCGCCTATTCATAAAGAACAGAAGAAAAAAAAAACAGTGGCTCATGATGATCATCCAATTATCACACACTGTCTTCTCTATTTTTAATGATCTAAGATGCGATGATAGGCTCACGAAATGTCTTCCTTCATTACTGTCAAAATTTTTATAAATTAGGAAATTACGTAAGACATTGGAACTTCAAATTTATCACGCAAAATGCAATTACATACCTCCGCCGATGACAAATTCGATGACAATCAAATTTGGATCAAGTTCACGCGCAAAATCTCTCACTGCTTTAGTTGGATCCTCGTACTAGATATACATATAAACAAACACATGGTAGAATAATGTTTACATTTAATAATGATAATAATAAAAACAAACCGTATGAGGGTCAATATATGTCTTTGTCGTTGTCGTAATTGAAGGCCACAGTGGTGCGGTCCCTAGAATATCAAGATAGTATTTATCTTCCTCTTCCGCACAATGACGATGAACAAATGAATTACTCAATCAATTCGCCGTCCTCAACTATCTTTCTAGTAAAAATGCCAATGTATACTTACAACCTGAATTGAAGAATGCATCAGGTCCGTAATGGCCAATCACTACAAAACGAAAAGAACAAGATGAACGAAATGCATATATAGCCTATAGAGTATTAGGCAATCCAATCTATATTTAAGTTTATTAGATTATTATTGATCGATAAAGATTGCTAAACTTCATATCTAATTTCCTCGATACTGACCTTGTCGTTTTTGATAATCTAGTGATTCACAATCGCTGGCTGCTTTCCATTGACATAAACGTGTTCTACAAAAAAAAATAAACAATGAAAATGATTGAAATCATTTATCTTAATCTTACTTTTTTACATAAATGAAACCTAATATCATAACTATAATTAATAACACAAGTACAATTAGTGGACCCATAACAATAACGTATTTATTATCGACGAAATTTTTCGCTAGACCCGATGTTAAAAATCTATCGATCGATATTGCATTTAATGAAATTAATTTTTCTTGCGTATACGAAGTCCAGCCATGTTTGTTATAGCCACGTATTTGATATTTATAACTATCCGATTTGGTTACTAGAGTAAAATTATTCGTTGAAAGCGTTACAAGCATTTTTTTATTTGCATCGATCAATGGCCAATAACGTATTTGATATTGAACAAAATCATCCGATAGCCATGTAATTACAATAGTATCGAATGTTATTCGTTGAATTTTTATATCGCGAATCTGCTGAGATACTATGAGAAGACAAAAAAAAGTCATTATATTTGAAAGAAAGACAAAAAGCAGTTTACTCGTACTTGGAGTTTTTGTTGTAAACGATAAATCAACAGATTTACTGAACAAATGTGTTGAGATTTGTTCGGCATATAATTTTATCTTATAGTTTGTATGATCATCAAGACCCGAAATTTTCACGCTAAGTAAAAAAAACGGAAAGAACTTTTTCATTCAACCGCAAAAGAAATTAAAAATATCGATCGACACCTTGTCTCATTAATAAATGTTCGGCTGGGTTCATAGATGATGTACGATTCACAAGGTACGAAATGAATACATTCAATATGATAGACATGATCATGCAATTGTTTCCAAGAGATTCCAACTGAACTTTGATCGATCTCGTCGATTGTTACATTTTCAGGTTGACTTGGACTTCCTATTGAATTATTTAGATCATTCAAAATTCAAAAGCAAAAGTCAATTTCAATTACCTATACAGGGTGTACTATAAATTGATGAATTTAAACGAAAAAAACCATCGTTACAAATACATAGTGTTGAGCCTTTATCATATGCGTGACTATGCAATGGGCACAGTTGACAACGATCAAAGTTGTTTATAGTTGATTTGTATGTACCAATAGGACAAACTAAAAATAGAAGACGAGAACAACAGAAATTAAAACTGCTTGATTTGTTTCCTGAATCAATGCTGGTGATATAATCATGTTCATTAGATCGTGTGTGATGACAGATGAAGCGGTATGCAATGAACGTAGGGAAATAGCGATCGTTTTCATTCATTTGTAAAATGAACAAAAAGACAGCCTGACTTAATTATAGAGATTGAAATACAATGACATGCATTGTATTAGCAAGCGTACAAGGCCACCTACACAATAATATAAATGCGCTTCCCAAGGGTAAAAAAGACATCGCTTTTGACAAGTTACAACTATTCATTATATCGAACAACTCAATCAAAACGATTATCTGAACGCAGTTAATTAGTTCTAATCAAATGGCCTCTTTACATACCCTTACAAATGGCACGAGATAAAAGGCTATTATTCTTATAATTATTATCAATAAGTTGTTCATAGCCTTGTTGACAATTGCAACTATCATGTAATGATGTTTCTTGAAAAGTCCATTCACCATTTCCTTTACAAAATCCTATTGGCTGTTGAATGGTTTTAGAATTCATTGTACATATACCGTAACGTTCAACGATATCTGTTAAATGCGATCCAGTTGGTGTTTCAGGAAAATGTATAAGACCAACGGATATATCTTGACATAAGCGATAAAAAATTTTCACATATAACAACGATATACATGCACCTTGATCACGAAATGCAATATAAAAACCATTTTTATTTATCGATACTCCACGAGTTTTAACATTGACTGTTAAATTATTTGCATGTGATGATATTTGACTGCCATAATTATTTGATGTAAAACGATTTCCGGCAATAATATCAACCAATTTATAGGACGATAATGAGAAATCATATTCTTCACGATCAGTTTCATGTATATAAAGTTCAAATGTTTCTCGACATGAACGAATTTCATTCGGTGTCTGAAATGTTGAACAATCTCTAATCGAGAAGCCAAGTTCGATTTCAATGCGTTGTGCTTCTTGACGACGTAGATAAGGTGTACGTAACCAATTATCAACACGACGTTCAGATGTTATGTCACATACGTATTGTGTACGCCACAGTGTTGATGATGATGATGATAGTAAAAGTGTTGGATACAGTTTAGCTTCAAAACTCAATTCACCCCATCCATCATTTAAATAGCCATTTGTTGATACTTTATACCAATTTAAATAATCACGAGCTTCACGTGTATCGGATAAAACAACTAATGAAAATAAACGAGCATCTCATAGAAGATTCTTTTTATGTTTATTCTAAATTACCTTCTTTTACTGAATGAACAATGGGATAAATCAAACAAATCAAAATAAATAGTAACTTATCAATCATTGTGTATTGTTACAGACTAGAAAGAAGATGAGACGATAAAATGTTCGTTATATTTGCAACGTTCTTTCTCGTTATGCTGATTCTTGAGCTTTCTTGTTCTCTCTAATCTTCTTTCTATGCGCACACACGATGCCATAGAATAGAGATCATCATCGAATTTCCTTTCTTGCTCTCTTTCTCTGTCTCTCATAATACCGCTCAGAGCAATAGTATTTATAGAAGTAGAAAAAAAAGAAGAAGAAAGAATAAGACAGACAGGAGCTGACCGACGTCCGAGCGCGCACATATGTATAATACCAAAGGATGAATGTATACAGACAATGACTCAAATGTCAAAAGTATTTAAAATGATGATCAGTTTAAGAAAAAAGAAGCTGACGTCTGATGATATATTAACCTTTTAGCTAAATTCTTGGATAGCAATTTCAGCATACAAATGTGATGAAAAACTTGTGTCAAAGAGAACTAACTTTACATCTATCTTTTTACTAATAAAGGATTGCACTATCTGAATAAGAATGATGGTGGCGTTGAGCTTAATTTTATTTTCACACGCTCGGAGACTCTCGAGGCCATTCACACGATAGCTGGCCTGCCTTCTCCGTCCTTTTACTCGCTTTTATGACGTACGTTTATCAATTAGGTTTAAGGTCTTTGGACGATTTTTTTTTCATACAGACGAGACGACTATTCATTGCGTAATTAGTATAGCTGATTATAACAGTTCTTTGCTTTTTCTTGTTATAGCTTTCGCTCATCGCGATGATAGCTTGTTGTTTTTCTCCAAGAAATTTTTATATATGTCAAATGATCTCACTCATTGATTCTCGCGTCTATTGGAATGTGAAGACAGTTCTGTTTCTTTCTCTCTTTCTCTCTCTCTCTCTCTCTCTCCTATTATCAAGCATGATGAAGTAGTAAGCGATTACGGCATGATCATTCTCAAGAGAGAATCAATTTTCGTTCAAAATAGTTGAGAAGACGAAAGATGACCAATGAAGTATACGATCATCGATGAAGTTCCTTCGAATACATTCGATTACGTGTTTTTTTCTTCCGCTTCTGTGTTCCCTTGTATGATATGTGCAAAAATTACCTTCGTTAGGATATGAATGCGCAAACAATTGTCATGTACGATTTTTAATTATTGTCGTCGTCGTCGTCGGCGTTGTTGATCAATGATGCTTACATAACTTTTTCTCTACAAGATATAATAACAGAATACATCTGTTCCGATACAGAAAAGGATAGAAATTTGTTTCTCTTCTCTCAACCTGTACAATTGTTCATTCACGTACATGTGTCAAATTTGTTTTCTTTAATCAACTTATAATATGAAGCTAAAAATTTGACTCATTTAGTCGTATCGAGTAACCATCTGGCTCATTCAAACTGTAGCATCTATTAAATGTCCAATTCTTTTCTTTTCTTTTTTCGTTAAAAATCGAACATTTCTTTTAAAAATGTAATACGAAGATGGAAAGAACTATTTGTGTCTAATTCTTCTTTATATATTGGACAAATACTGAAGGATATGTCAATGTTTGCTAGACACACGGGTGCAACTATTGAAAAATACGTACTATTTCGATTTGTGTAGACAAGGTCAAACAACAATCAAACAAGTGCAAGTTAAGATGATGAATAAACATGCATTCTTAATCTAAAAAAATATGTACGATGGTATGGTGCATTTCCTTTTTTTCCCCTATCATTCATTTCAAGTCACAATCGATTGAGTGCAATGAGGTGGAAGTGAAGTGTTCATCCATATAGAATCAGCTGAATGTCGATCTATTGAAACAATTATTATCGAGTTAAATACTTCTTCTTTTTTTTTGCCATCTGAGAAATTTGATGATGCACACAGATAAGAATATTGAGTATGTTTGTATACACGCATATCATACATTCATTGTATTTGATACGGATAAGATGTTTCGAAATTACCATTTCTATTTAGTCTAGTTTCGTTCTTTTGTTGATACAATAGAATGTGTTTGTCTTCGTCAGTTGATTCATTCGAATTATTAATGACAAATAAAGAAAAAAAAAGAATCCTTGAAATCTAACCAGAAGATTATTCAAAGTAATCCGGTGATGAACATCGCTTTAAGTCATTTTTCTATTGAATTGGAATTCACACTTGAATTCAAAGAAAAAAGAAACTAGCTAATTTATATATAGTAGAAATCATGATTATCGTGCAGAGGCAGGGCTTCATAATGAAAGAATTGAAGAGTTATGTTTCTATCGAGATGATAGGAAGCCTTTAGAATAGAGTTGTAGAGTCTTTCATGTTATTGCTGCATGTTCTAATCAAATAAAAGCAAAAGGAGAAAGGCAAATGCCGGCCATCGTCTAATTTAAAACAAGACTCTTCAACCATTGACAATGACAATTAGATGAAAAGATAACAATAACACATTCAATGGCTTGCCTACTATTGTTCGGAATGGGCAATGTTGTTTTTTCAAGGTATATAGACAGACAAGCAGACAGACATACTTATCATGACAGTTATATTCATATGACACCGAACAGGACTTTATGAAGAAGAAAAAAAATTCATTGAAGTGTCTTTTTTTCTCTCTCCTTCAATTTTATGATCGTTTTAATGTCAATATATAACGAATGAAATTGATTTTTTTTCTCTTTGCGTTTATTTTTATATTTTATTTGAAGGGAGAATTTGCATATGGGTAAAAAAAATAAGAATTCAATTGTCTGTATAAATATATGATTAGTAAACCCGTAGAGTATTTCAACGTTTCAAATATTTCACTTATGGGAATATAATAATAGAATCACAAAAGAAAATTAGATAATGTTGTTGTAACACAATGAATTTAGCGTTGCGTAATTTTATTGAATGTACATGAATAGCTTTTTGATAGCTAGAAAAATGATGCGAAGAAAAAAGAAATCAGAACGCTGCTTCAATTCAGGGTTAACGTCTGAAATGGCGTAAATTATTCATAGCACTGCGTCTAGGAAACAATCAAGAGATTTAAAAACAATTGCACACTAAAGAGACTATTCCATGTTTAGCGGGCGTTTAACATCATTCGTCGAGTATTCTTGGCTGATTAGTACAAGTTTTTTTTCTTATTGAATATCTCCCTGCCGCGAACATTGTCTCGAATGGTGGACAGAAAAAAACTGATTAATTGCAATTGTTTATGATTTAGTCGCTTGATTTTCACAGGTTCTTTTTTTGAAAGAAATGTTATTCAATAGAAAAGTGATTCTCTTGTAAAAACGATGTTGAGCAATCAACATTTATAAAGCAAGCCTTGATAAAAATCAAAGCCATATAGTATTCTTAAATGGCATATGAAAGCATGTGGTGGATTTCTCGCTATTATATTGCTTAAATCAATATTATATAGATGCTGTGTCAAAATTCTAATGCAATCAAGAAACAACTGAATAACAAGCTGTTTTGTTTTTTCAAGACAAATTTTTCATTGCATACTTCTGGCTAAATTATGTATTTTCAAGTTTTTACCTATAAACATCGGGCAGCAAGTTCTTTTTCTTTTATAGATTCTTTTCTTGCGGCATCACATGTACAAGAGTAAACACTTTTATTTAATGCAGAAATCTGCAAAAACAGAATATGAACCAATTCTGATTTATTTGCATTAAGTCGTAAAAATATGTTCAAGCCACAATCTTCTAAATGTTAGCTTTTATTGACTGATGTACTTCTAGATGTGTTCATAGTTTTTGTGGATAGATCACCTAGAGATTTGCGAAGATCTTGAATTGACCATCGTAGATTAGGCGGATCGAAATACGGCACAGGCTTATAGACCGATTTCCCAGCTGGTCGCCAAACAGGTTCATTAACAGATTTTTTCACTATTTTCTCTGGACTAAGTGATGTCGGTGGTCTTTCTTTGAACTTGCCAGGATGATGCCATACAGGTTCAACTGGCTTGGGTTTTGTCTGTTTATAATTTTCAAGTGTATAAGTAGGTATGGAGTATTTTCGTCGGTATGTATGAATCCATGGTTGAACGCTAGGTGCTTCGGGTTGTTGCCGCTTTTCAGGAGAAAGATATGCATGAAAATGAGGCTGACGAAAGGCACCAGATGGCCGCCATATTTGGCTGCCGGGCAAAGTAGCCAATGAACGGGCATGGTGCTGTAGTGAAAGTGGCGGTGCACTTTGTATACGAAAACTGGAATTTGTTGAATTCTTTAGAGAATTTCCATGAGTATCGTTTCTTGCAGTTTTTAATGGAGACGACGAACTGCGTTTAGCAGCCATTTAATTAGTACTGACAGCGTACTGCTTAATTTGAATTGGTATATTTATTCACGACAAGCAAAATCGTCAACTTATTGCTGTAAGTGAAGATGTATGTTTTTTGTTTTCAGTACGTCTTACTTTTATTATTCACATGCACCTACAGCGATAGCAGCAGCAGAACAATCATAATAGTTCGAAACGACTTCTTTTTCTGTTTTTTTTTGCAATTCGTTTGGTGAGAATTGTGCTTGTATGTATTTTCATATGGCTACGCCAATTTTATTTTCAAGAATAAGAAAAAAAAATCATAGCTGCTTCTACATTATGTTAAAAACATCGCAGATCTCTGTCAAAAAAAAAAAAACATTGCGGTTATTATTGTTTGCGTATTCATTATATTTGTTTAAGAAGAAATATTGGGTGTAGCTAAACGAGTATAAGTAGTATTTGATGTTCCATTACGAAGAATTGATTTTGGCATTCCGTTGTTTGTTTGATTGAAATTTGTTGTTAATGATTGAGAATTTATATAATTATTAGCATAAGTAGAAGGCGTAGAGGAAGATAGAGTAGGAAAAGGAGCAAATGACCTTGATGATGCTACTGATGGAGCGGAAGTATAAGGAGTCGGCTCCGGAGCAAACGATGACATTTGTGGAAGATTGCTATTCGAATAGGGTGTAATATTTGCTGAACGGTACGGACCAATAGCTGATGAGTTGGAAGGTGCAATACTAGCAGGACGATATACCGGATTGTTTATTGTAGTAGATGGTGTGAAGGTTGACGGACGATATGGTGTAATATTTGCAGGTGCATAAGGTGCACTACTAGTTGGAACAGATGATGTCATGTTTGCTGAACGATAGAGTTCATTATTTAATGGATTAGCAGGTCGAATATTGGCTGAAGGATAAATTCCGGAATTTGCTGTGTTCGTCAACGAAACAGTCGGCGGTGGACGATTGTCAGTATTGTTCATGGGAATATTTTGTGACATACTAGGTAGCATAGGTCGAATCATCGGAGTATTGGTTGCTGCTCTTGGCATTGATTGTGCTTGTGGTAATCTAAGACGTTGAAAAAGATTTTGAAATCTTTGCATCAGTGGATCTGCTGCCATTGTTGGTGACATTGTTTGCGCTCTTGATATATTATTTAGTTGAACTTGATTAGGAGCTGCAATCATCGATTGTCTCGGTGCTGCAATAATGGATTGATTAGGTACTCTAATAATAGATGAATTAGGTGCTGAAATAAATGATTGATTAGGTACTCTAATAATAGATGAATTAGGCACGGAAACAAATGATTGATTAGGAACTGCTAGAACAGATTGCATATTTGGAGATCCGCCAAAATTTCCTCCTGCATTAGCTTGAATGGCTGATAAGGTTCCATCAGCTGGATTGATTATTTCAGCGGGCAATACGATAGTATCAAGTTCAGTATTATCATCGGCCTGACTACCAGGTAGATGGATAGGTGGCAAGTGTACAGTTTGTCTCGGTAAATTTTCAAGCATTTCTGCAGTGAGATTTGAAGGATATGTTGATGAAACTGTACCAATATTATCATTAGTGGGTAAGATGAATGAGGGCTGAGCTGGTAACAAATATGGATTTCCAATAGGATTAGTTATGATTGTTGTTGGTTGTGGTGGTGGATCATCACACTCATATTCACAACATACAGGTCGACATCTTCGATGATGATGATGACGACGACGACGGCGACACGGAATGCGTTCAATTTCTATCACAGTTTCCGGTGGTCCACGTAAGCCGAGCGTCGGACGATTATTCCATGGAATTGTAATAACACGTCTTCGTCCCCATGACGAACGACAACGAGATTTTGGTTCTATAACAATTTCGGGTGTGAGTGGTCGTCGTCTACGTCGATGAGATTGACCTCGAGGCATCTGAACTCGCCTTCCCATTGATGGATCAGCAGTACGAGGTACCATAGGCAGACGGGAAAATGGTGTACTCGGTGATATTTCATCATTTGATCGAGCGGCAGGAATTCGTGGAAATGGTGTTCTTGACGTTGGCACCATAGATTCGAGCTCTGGAGAAGGAGCTGAAATAGGTCCATTACGTCTCGGTAGTACTGATAATGACCCATAGTCACCAGGCATAGCTGAATCATCGCCATTTGTTGGATTCGCTCTTGATGACAACATTTTCTTGTACCTAATAGTAATGGTATATAACGATAGTCAAGAGACACTTTTTCTGTAAGGTATTTTTATTTGTCTCCATTCATTAACGACACGCATCGTTTCGCATACTTATGCTTTTAGTCCAAGGCTTCTATTCTTCTGCTTTTTTCTTTCTGCGTAGCTAGACGAAAACCTTCGACATAGAAGGCAACATGTCAATGAACCAATAATGACGAGCACATCATCATCATCATCATCATAGATAGTCACCATTGATCAGCAAGAAACATTTTGAAAAAAAACACTAAAAGAACTTTTGATATTTTACACATAAGAAGCTTTTCTTGTGTCAATAACCAATTACTACACCAAACATATCTATTAAACTGTCATATTATAAATTGATATAATTTTATATTGATTATCTAATAGGATCATTTTTAGAATGCTGGAAATCACTGATTACAAAAGAAATTGATCTGTCAAATTATTTATTGTGGATTGTATACCGATATTGAATGACTTGTTTTTCTTTTAATTTATCAAAATAGATCGCTTAACACAAAAAAAAGCTTCAATATTTGATGAAACCAGATATTCGCATAGTCCTTGATTTGACTAAGAAAGACAAAAAGAAATTCGTACTCAATAACGCAACCTAAATGCAACTGTCACACAATAATTGCAACACGATGAAAATAAAAAATAGCGTAAACCGTGAACTCCGAATAGAATATATTCGTTCGAACTTCTATAAAACAGAGATGAACATTTTGTACTTGTCTGTAATCATATCATTCATATATTTATATAAAAACAAAAGCAGATCACAAATGAATTAAAACAATTTCATTCGGTAAAGTAAAAAACGACGAAAAGTCAAGACTAAAAAAGGAAACATTTAGTTTATCATGGTTATTTAACTTGTTCAAACAAGCCAGTGTCAAGGTTGCGTGCCATGAGTGCATCGGGTATTGCATTGGGTATTTTATGGTCGATATATAGACGTCGAATAGTATTATCTTGAAGATAGCGTACAGCTGCAGGCGATATACGTATACATCCGGATATATAAATTTCTTCGAGAAATGGTTGTGTATGCGCCATGGCAAGAATAGATCGATCAGTTAAATGAAAGCAACCAGAAAGAACAAGTGAAATAAATTTACATACACCAAGAAGATCACAGATAGATGAATCAGTTACCTAGAAAGAAAGAATCCGGTCGATTTCGTTTTCACAAAATTACAAAATAGAATATGTTTACTTGTTTGCAACCTTTAATATTCAAATGAGATAATTTTTTGCAATGTTTTAATGATGAAATCAATGCATCATGAACAAAGGGTATACCGGAAAGTTCTAATTCTTTCAAATTTAAACAATTTTCTACTAACGACCATAAGACTTGTTCGTTAATCTAAATCACAATGAAATCATGACAATCAATTAAAACAAAAATAACTAGTTTACATTGCGAAATGAGCTCAATGAAACACTGCGTAGTTGTAGAGCGCGTTTTGGCGTACCAAATAATTGTAATAATGAATCAAGTGTTGATGTAAAACTCAATAGATTGAGTGAAAGTTCTTCTAGCAATGGACAATAATTAACAATATGTTCAATACTACGGTCAGTCAGTGATCCAACTGTTATATAACCATTCATTTCAAGTGTTTTAAGTCGACATCCCATAACACTAAGTATCTAAAATATTGCGAATACTTTGTCTTTTGAACATATTAAATTTAATGGACATACTTTGTCAAGAGCATCATCATTGATAGTTGCAAGACCGTTGACTCGAAGATGTTCCAAATGTGTTAGTCTTGTTAGAGCACGTATCATAATTTGAGTACTATACACTTGTGTACCGGATAAACATAAATCAACAAGAGATAATGGCATACAACAAATATAATCCGCAACTGGTTCTTGTAGAAAACAAGTCGTATACGATAAATTTAATTGCAACATGCGTGTCGATCGTACGAATAACTTGAGGAAAAAATAATGAAATCTAGTTGTTAAATATATAGAAGGTGACGCTACAGCAGAATTGGAGTAAATTTTGTTTCTCGTTTATTTATATATGTTTTGATAGAGCTTGAAAAGCTGATGAAGAAGATATACGTTTTATTTCGATTTAGTTACTGTTTGACTGAGAAAATCTTTAAAAACAAGAACGACTAAAAAAATGCTGTTTTTATGTTAAATTTACACTTTTGTACAAAAGCTACCAAATTTCTTTTTCAATTATTTTCTGAGCATTTTCAAAGTACTATATTCTGAATCAGCATGAAAAGCTGAGTAGGAAAATGCTATTTGGTTAGATGTAGACCTAAAAAAGAAAACAATTTCTTACCTCATATAAGTAGCTTCATCAGACGAAAAGTAGGTGTGTCAGTGAGCGTTCTTGTAAGTCTATCTAGTTTTTTTGCAATAAGCGATAGAAACAATTGTCTAATCACAGTAGAATCGTCAAATCATGGGCTACAAAAGTTATTATTTTGTCTTTTTAAAGTTTATTTTACTGTTGAGAAATTTGAATTTTTTCCATGTTGGGTGACAGTATGTATCAAAAAGACGAAAAATGTGCATTTATTCACCTGTTTTCATAACAATAACTAAGGCAAATCAATAGCATATTCGGAATCACCGTTAAAATTTACACCGACTCATATATATTTGATTGAATTTTATTTTCGGAGAAAAATTTATCTGTGGGAGGACTAGGAGAAAAATTTTTAAAAATTATACCTGAGGGGGACCACAGGCTTTTTCCGTTAGAAATATTTTTGTAGCAAACACATATGAGTCGGTGTAAATTTTAACGCTGATGCCGGATATGCTATTGATTTGCCTTAGTTATTGTTATGAAAACTGGTGAATAAATGCACAATCTTTCGTCTTTTTGATACGTACTGTCACCCAACATGGAAAAAATTCAAATTTCTCAACAATGAAACAAAATTTAAAAGAACAAAATAATAACTTTTGTAGCCGATGATTTGGCGATTCTAATGAGATGAGACAATTGTTTCTATCGCTTATTACAAAAAACTAGATAGACTTACAAGAACGTTCACTGACACACATACTTTTCGTCTGATGAAGCTACTTATATGAGGTAAGAAATTGTTTTCTTTTTTAGGTCTACTTCTAACCAAATAGCATTTTCCTACTCAGTTTTTCATGCTGATTCAGAATATAGTACTTTGAAAATGCTCAGAAAATAATTGAAAAAGAAATTTGGTAGTTTTTGTACAAAAATGTAAATTTAACATAAAAACAGCATTTTTTTAGTCGTTCTTGTTTTTAAAGATTTTCTCAGTCAAACAGTAACTAAATCGAAATAAAACGTATATATTCTTCATCAGCTTTTTAAGCTCTATCAAACCATATATACATAAACGAGAAACAAAATTTACTCCAATTCTGCTGTAGCTGCACCTTCTAAATTTTTTTTTAAATAAAAACATTTACTGTAAATAATCCATCGGTATCGATATTAAGAATACCGAATAAATTCAAACTAGAATAAAGAAAATCGATCTCTTTATATTGTATAATTCTATGCTTAAATAATTCTCACTTTCGAATATTAGGACAATGATCAACTAAATTTAAAAATACATCTGCATCCAAATATGTTAATCCTTCAATATCTAATAATTCCTATGCATACAAAGAAAACGAATGTTTTTTGAAAGTATAAAAAATACGAACGAGTTTTTCAGCTAAATGTTGCGCAATATGAACAACACATTGGCCAGTCAAAGAATGACAATTCATTAGACGAACAAAACGTAAGTTGAGATTGTTTGAAACAACCGTTAAAATACCTTGATCTTGAATTTTGTCATTCCATTGGAAATCAATTTCTTTTAAAAATGCTGAATGTATACCATCAAGACCTGCATTGGTTAAATTACTCAATTTTCTTAATGCTACATATTCAAGTGATAATTGTCCTTTCGTTATAGCACGTATTCCTGAATCTATATATTACATTTTGAAAACATAAATAGGCAATTTTCAATTGAAAATCTACCTTCTACTTGTTGGCATTGATGAATAATCAATGATTTTAATCGGCTAAAATTACTTGCTTTAGCAAATTCAATGAGCATATCATTCGTTAATTGATGACATTTATAGAATTCAAGAGAATATAACGGAACTGAAAGAAGATTTCTTGTTATATATTGAACAATATTATTCGAGAGACAATCATGTGAAGCCAGCCATCGAAGTATACGTTCGCGTTGTATAGCTGTAAGACATTGACATGATTCAGGAGAAAGATACGGCAGATGAATAGCAACTTGTTTAATCAACTGTTCGCGTAGTTTTAATACCATTGTTTCAATTTGAAAAGAAATATTCTAATAAGAAATAAAAACATACTACTTCGTATGGTGACATGACTATCACGATGATTCACAGTTGCTGACTGGCTAGCTGACAAGCAGTTTAATATAATTGGTTCACATCAACGTCAATCAGATTTTTTTTCCATATGTCTACTTGTCGTGGAAGGAAATCATCAGATTTTGAGAACATATTGGTTTTATTTAGTTCTTATTCGAGTTCTCGAGCGAAAAAAAACAAGTCCTCAACTCTAATGATGTAATTAAATGTAAAAATATCACAGGCATCAAATAATAGAAAATGTTTGTTTTAAACTGATGATAATGATTGGGCAACAAATTATCATATGAAACTTTTCTGTACATTGAAATTTTCTCTTTCACGCTGAAGTTGCTGAGATTGAGCTTGTTGTTTCTCTTCTTGTTTAATCCATAATTGTTGGATCTGCATCGTCAATCGAGGATGGAGACTCAATGCATATGGCAATAATACATTTGGCATGTTACCAAAATCAACCATGATTTTAATAAACGTTACATCATCACGAACATACGAATTGGTTTCATTTTGAATCATCGCCAATGGAAAGAATTTAGATATGTCACGTCTTTGTTGACGTATTTGGTTCACACATTAGAACAATAAGTAAAGATGAGCTGGCATCTTTTAGACAGTTAGTGATGTCCTCGAATCTTTCTCTGAACACTTTTTCATCTTTGAAATTTCGAATAAATTAAACGTTAGTTTTGAACTCAAAAAAAAGATTTCAGCTTAGAAACATTATATTTTTTGCAGTAACTGCAAGCGTCGAGAACGAAATTACTACATATTCTCCAAATCAGTAATGCAAGAATCGTAATAGTTCTGATGATCGGTAAACTATTGTTCTAAATGCATAAAACAAACATTGTTTATTGCGAGGATTCCATCAACAATGGCAACTTTGTCCTGTCCTATACTCGAAAAAGGACAAAAAGTATTGTTTGACAGAGCTGTTCTGTGCTCGATACCGCTGATATTAAAAACAACTACATGATTACCTACCCATACTTCAATCTAAGGAAGAATGTTCTGCTATTTGTTGTATGAATAAAATAAATGTGGAAACTTCGGATTTCATCCGAGAGTTATGTGTACTGCAAAAAGTGCATGGAACATATGAGTCATTCTAGAAAATCTGAACACCAAAATTATCATGAGAAACTAGGGAATTTGATTTCTGGATGCAGTTTTTGTGCATTTTGCGGCGTTTTCCAGGCGATGTTTCGTTAAAAAGCTACGATTTAGCTCAAAACTAATATCAGATTCGGAATTAGCGTTAAAAACTGAGTCGACTTATATATGTTGTGAATAATTCTAAGAAAAATTTCTGTACCCCCCTCAGGGATGGCCTGGTCAATACTGACAATTTTTTCGATAACTCAGCCATTTCTTGACGGATCCTTCTCATCTTCGAACTCAACTGAGATATTAATGAGATGATTATGTATACAAAATTTCATGACAATCGGATGAGACTTTCAAAGGTTATTGTGTTAACGGCCGGCCGGACACACTGACCTAGTCTAGAGTGTACTCACTGTTTTTGAGTACACAAAAATCAACTAAATCATACTGATAATTCATGATTTGATATTCTTTTAAAATTATTTTCAACAAATCGAAGTTATTCCTATTTCTTTGTATTGATATCTATAAATAAAAGTACAAAAAGAATTTAATTTACACACAGGAAATTCTTTTGAGCATACTATTGATCTTTTGTCAAGTACTACAGTCACCACACCGTCATATTGAATATAGTATAATGTTTGAAGACAATTTAAACATGTGTTTGAATCAATGAAAAATTGTTCAAGATAATCAACGTGTACGTAACTGATGTAGAAATTAATCTTATAATTATTATCATGCATAACCAAATGTCGAACACTCATCAATTTTCCACCGGGAATACTGTTCATTTTAGGATGAAGATGATTTCTGGTACATGAGAGTGAGTATAAACATGACATCGAATTTCTTCATTTCGACTATCGTCAATAAAGCAGTCAATAAGATATCGTATTTTAGTGAATATATACAACGCATATGATTATGTGATGGAAGAGATTCTTCATGGATCATAACAATATCAACGAGAAATGTTTGTAGTTGTCGCATATTAATTTCGAACAAGAATATATACTGTACCAATACTTCATCGCATATCACAATTAGAAAGAATCGCATTATGTTCATCGTATGCTATTATTTTAGTTGAAGACAATGAGAAAAATGTCCGATTAACTACAGAGTTCTATGAAAAAAGAAGCTCATACAAATTAATATTTTGCCTATGTCTATATTTGATAACTAAAGTAGGATCGCACATATGCATATGGCAGAATAAATTTATCATGTGAAATTTCTTTAGGAAAAATATTCTTCAGTGTTAAAGTCAAGGGGGAAAGGCACGTCTTCCGTACTTCGAAGTACAATGGGAATAGAATGGGAGTACATGGAAGTACAAGGGAAGTACGAGTGAAGCATATGGGAGTACGCGAAGTACAAGGAAGTACGAGTGAAGCATATGGAAGTACGCGAAGTACGGAAGTCGCGCTTTCCCCCTTGATTAAAGTCAAAACATCCTGCTAGGTACATGCTTTTCATTATCTGAGGTTGATGGTCAATATAGTTCTCTATGTAAACAAGTTCGAAGAACATTCTGTTCAAAAAGTCCTTCTCGAAATGGATCAACGTGTATTGTATTGAATCATACAGGTGACGTTTTTATTTATTTATTTTGAATATTCATGTGCATATGAATATTGAAATAAACCATTGCATTCATCAAATCCTTGTATAAATAATGGAATATGTCGAAATGTGGGTGTGTTTAATGGAAACAAATCCATACTCGTATACCCTCAAGATATATCAAGCGTTCGTCTTGCTGAAATACAATTATTTCGTGAATCTTTATTAGCAAAAAGACAGAATTTATTATCGCTCGAAGTCACGATTATTGATTGTCTTTAAAGAGTAGAAGGTGCCAAATTTTTAATTTTTGAGAAGGACCGGTACCCTCCTCTTCTCAAGAAATAATAAAATGATGAAAGATTGAACTAGTTAGTATCAATTCAAAAAAAGAGTACTGCAATGCCAAGAGTATTTTATATGTGAATATGAAAAACAGACAAAGTTTTCTTCTTCATCATCACCCAAATTTCATATCACACTCTAACCGTTGGTATACTGATTTCGTTCTTCAGTCACGAAAGAGAATAGATATCATATTTTTCGGCCTTCAATTACATGGATTCACAAAAAGTATTTTTGTGTCATTCGTCTCTATGCAAATAGAAATAGATGTCATCCCTAAAACAAAAACAACAGTTGACTCATGCATTTGTTTTTGACCAATCAATCAAAAACCATCCACTTTCTTTCTTTCTTTCTTTGTAGAGCGATGACTCAGTATGCCAAAAAACTTCGTTATAACAATCAGCAGATTCCTCTTTTTCTCAATTAAAAAGTCAACAGTCCAATGAATCAAATATCTTTTAACCCAAATACCTCCGATGATGATGATAATGAAGATTTTATTGACGACGAAGATGATGATCGATCGAATGAATCTATGGACAATTCAACTAGTAAAAAACGAAATAAGAAAACATTAGGCCGTGTAAAAATCAACATGGCTTATATTGATAATAAAATTCGAAGGTATACAACTTTTTCTAAACGAAAAACAGGCATTATGAAAAAGGCATACGAATTAGCAACATTAACGGGTACTGAAGTTATGCTTCTTGTTGCTTCTGAAACTGGTGAGAAAATGAATATTTTTAAATAAATATATATATTTTACATCCCAGGTCATGTTTACACATATGCTACACCGAAACTACAACCGATGATAACAAGTGAAACTGGTAAAGCGCTCATTCAAACTTGTCTTGCAAAAGATGAACCGATCGTTGAACCTGCTCCGCCATCGACGACTACATTAAATAATAACGATGTTATATTTATTGATGAAAATCAACAAAAAAAACGAACCAATTTATCCTTAGAAAGTATGACTACTCAAATTCGTCCAAATAAACGTTCTAAATTAAAACCAACTGTTGAAGTCGAACAAGCAAACGCTCTAACTTCATGTGTACCGATGCCAACATCTATATATCCACCGACGATAGCCGTACCATTGTCATGCTTAGTCAATGCAGATTCTCACCAGCAACTATCTATCAATCATGGAAATTCATATACGATTGATATAAATTCCCTAAAAGCTAACGGAATTAATATTGTCCTTGCCCCATCACCCAATTCTTCCCAACCCTCACCTCCATCTAATGTATCACTTGTGTTTACCCCGGGCAATTTTCCATATCAATCATCTTAAAACAAGGTTAAACTATATTTATTGACTTCAGTTTTGTTTTCGTGTGTTTAAAAGAGAAGAAAAGACACATGTGTGCTACTTATTGCCTTGAATAAATTAACAATTATTTTGTCTTCAAATGACCAATAATCAAAGTAGATTGAACGATATGATGAAACAGGCAATACATACCTCGTTTTGTTGAATTTGTTTGAAAAATCGATGAATCTTCTTGGATCGAATCTTCTCATTTGATGAGTCAATGAAATTTGCATGAGCAGAAAAACAATTTTTTTTTCGTATAAATTGCCCGTCCTGATCGCTTATTTTTTCGTTTTAGATAGAATATTTCGTTACGTTTCATTATTATTGTAGAATGAATAGACGAGACAGAATGACATTCCAATCAAAATAGTAAATTATGGATTCAAAAAACATGTCACTTGTGGCTTCGACCACTGATTTGCCATTTCGTCAAAGTGTTGCAAAAATTCCAGCGAAACGAACAACTCAGGTTTGAATATTTATTCAGTGCGAGAACAACAACGAGGCATTCTCTTTCGAAAAAATCTAGAGCTTTTTCTTGATTAAATGTATCTCACCAATAATAAGTACGAAACACTATCGATCATTTTTAGTTCCTGCTTATTCTTTTTCAAAGATAAACCAATATCGATTTATTTCAATGACAAGCTGCTAAATCTGATTAGACAGTTTGAACACTTCTGTTCGTATGCATAAATCTCTGACATAATCGTATCGCCTAATGCAGTTGGTTATCTTCTTTGTCATCATGTTAATTGAATTTTCAACACGGAAGTTACGTTATACTGTTTTTAGTCATTATTTTCGTATGATTGACACCACCACCACCACCATCAGTGATGATTGCCAACTTTCATATAATATAAAGAACTGTATGCTTAGTCATCAAAATTGGGACATTCATGCACATTGAAGAGAGAGAGAAAGGAAAGAAAGAAAAGAGAAGTGGGGTGAAATCAAGTTGCCCGCATGAGTATGTATGTATGTACATATATTCTTTCATCCGTTGTCCATACAACTACGTGTAAACACACAGATTTCTCTTTCTTTTTTTTTTTCTACTACACTTTTTCTTCTTTCTTAGAGGTCAGTCATCCCTACTGCCCGGATTCGTAAGTTCAATTTAAAAAATAAACCCGCTCTAACGGAAGACAAGAGAAACTCATTTTCGTTTCAATTGCAAAATCCGGTGCCAAACAGGAAATAGATTGCTTTGTTTTGTCTTTTCTAGGACTTGACTATAATTAATGCTTATTTAAAACATTTGGAAGCATTATCAATACTACGGGAATCACATATTCGAAATTTATGCAAGACAATTCGCTATGAAAAATATGACGCCCATCATATTCTATTCAGGTATGTGTTTTTCGGCTAAGTTCATTTTTCAATATTGATATTTATTTTCTCTTCATCCTTTTACATATTGAACGAGGACATTCTTTTAAGTTTATTATGTCTATACCAGATAGCGACAATATAGACATACATATTCATCATCATGTTTGTATGTTTGCATAGCTAGTATTCGATCATAGTGAATTATCTATCTATTTATCTTTGATGATAGATGTTCCATCATATACTCGAACTCACAAATGAGAGAGGTTGCATCATATATATATATATACCAAGATATAATATAACAATAGACTTCTTAAATAATAAGAGCAATATACTGAACTTCGAATGTCTTATTCGATATCGCTTAGTTCTGCTGCTGTTGTTGTTGTTTTGATCACTTGACACTTCGCTATAGCACCTAGTTTTTCTTCCCCTCTGTGTGTACCGAAAGAGAAGTGTTCGTGCTTATTGTGTAGGACACGCGCATGTAATCGTTTGGACATTTAGAAGAGTAAAAGGCGACAAAGAAGAATATATATAAACATATACTGTAAGAGGATAATGGCGAGTTTATACTCACGTTTGGCATACATATATATATATATATACGATTTTTATTTTTTTATTTTAGTCGTGGTGAATTGAATACCTGCTGGTATATACTTTTATCTGGCTCTGTTTTTATCGAGTCTACACTGTATTTACCACGAGCAAGGTAAGAAAGAGGGAAAAAAACTTTCATGAATAGATCAATTAGTTTATTATTTAATCGTCATCCCCAACATTTTTATGTATTCTTTTACATAGAAACAAAAATAAATTAGCTCAACCAAACTTTTTTTTACTTCATTTTGCATGTTTAATTCTTAACCTTGTTCGTTCTTTTCTTCGTTGGTTTTTTTCTTCTCTTTACCGATTGCATACTACAAATATCATTGCTATACCAACACTTCTTTCGGCCTCTCTCTCTCTCATCAATACCTATCCATTGTCGACATTGAATAGATCAACCGATATTGGTATTCATACGACATAAAAAATTCATTTTTGTCTTAAATAGTTTTGGTAAACGAACTCCGCGTAATCAATATCGAACGAATGAATGTGTTATGTTAGAATCATCAGAATTACTCATAGTAAGTGAAAATTCCCTTGTTGGTGAACAGAAACGATAGCATTGATTTCAAAAGATTGATTATCCAACACCAAATAAAGAGTCAGCGATGCGAGTCGATAGTGAAAATAATCAAGAACAAGCAATAGCAACAATAGTTGACGACGACGAAGAACAGCTGACAACAACACTTCATCGAAAGAAAAGTTCACGTATTCGACAGGTGATATATATATAAATATATATAATTTCTATAGATAAGAAATTATTTTTTTGTTCTTATTGTCATTATTTATTTTTGTCTTACAGCGTTCGGTAACAGGCAGTAATGCAAACGATATGCATTCACCTATGATTCGCAGTTCACATTCACGTGCAAGTGACACATCTAGCGCCTACTCTGGATCAGATATCATGCAGTCATCCGCCAACGGAGATGATTGCCAGTTGACTAATAACGAAGAAAATAATGAAACTGACGCTGAATCTGAAACATCATCAGAGGTAAATTTATTATTTATTCGATTTTTTTAAATATTCTTTTTTTTGAATTTCATAGTCATTTCCTATTTATGATTTCATACGAGAATCTTTAATGAAAGAAGCCCATGAAAGAACAGATGATGATATTGAAAGTATTCTAGAATTTCTTGTCCATTTCCCAGTAAGAATTGAATAAAATTATAAATTTTGTTCAAGAACTATTATTTTCTAAAGGCATTTGCTGATTTAACTTTACGTGTTCGACGTGAACTATGCAAAGTACTTGTTTATGCTCATATTGAAAAAGCGAATACCGTTGTCATGAATGACGGTGAACGCTATGATTCGTGGTCCGTTATTATAAATGGTACTATTGATAATGAAACAATCGATGGACAATTAATACGTACATATACTGTTGGAGAAGGGTTTGGCTGTGGTCCAACGTTAGATCAATATTGTCATAAAGGGATTATGAAAACACACGTTGATAATTGTGAATTCGTTGTTGCAGCACAAAATGATTATTATGCAATATTAAATCAAGTATTTTTCAAGATAATATTCTAAGAAATAATTTTATTCAAAATTTATCTTCTATTCTAGGATGAGAAAAATATTCGAATTGAAGAAAGCGGAAAAGTGGTGATGATTAAAGAAGTTCGTGTCGACAATGAAGAACAAAGAATTCCTAGAGAAATTGTCATCAAGGTAACTATTGACTACTAAGTTTTTTTAGTGTGAAGAAGGACGACAGTTAAACATGCATAAAATGAAATAAAAAATTGCTTTGTTTTTGTTATAACTATGTCACGGTTCGATATTTACTGCGTATCAGTTATCAGCTAGCAAGCTTGTCCAAGTCATAAAGTAAATGTTATTCTAGCAATATGAAAAAATATTTCGAGGTTCGTCACTTAATTCTTGAGACACCACTCTATGGATTATCTGTCTGCCGACTTTATTCAGTTGATTATTTCAGCACGTAATAAAAATATTGTTGATATTCTTTGGCGCATGTCATTGTCCCAATAGTAGAGATTATGAATGACTTGATGAAAGTTTTGCATTTTATTAAAATGAAAATAGTGCGGCACGACAAGGACATAAGACAGTACCTAAATATTTAATTTTCAAGAAAAATATAAATCAAGTAAATGTAAAGCGATACTTGTGACCCTGAAACCTTTGATCTATTTTGTTTTTAGGCAACAAAAGAAAAACTACTCGATTTACTAGTGGACGAACGTCAATTAATTGATGATCCCAGTTTCGTTGAAGATTTTCTTCTTACTTATCGGACATTCATCAAGGATCCAATAATAATAACAAACAAACTATTTGACTATTTGCTTGATAGCAATGATCCAGCATCATCTGAACACATCACACGTGTTGTTTTATCATGGGTTAATAGTCATTATAACGATTTTGAGTCGAACCCAAAATTGAGTGAATTTCTTGAAAAATTTGACGACTATTTACAACATCGTGCTCCTGAAGTAACGCGGGCGTTTTTGTTTTTGTTTTTGTTAATTTTCTTTTTAAAAATTGGTTTCTCTTTTAATTTCGTTAGTCTTTGCGATCCTGGAGACATACATTCAATTTAGTTTGCTATACAAAATCTAGCATACGTACAATCACTATAACACGATCAACACGCGATGATATATTAAATTTCGAAATACTTGGAGGAAGTGATACATTAGCAAATAATGGAATATTTGTTTCGAAAATTGAACGGCATTCTAAAGCTTATGAAGTTGGCTTACGACGAGGTGATCAGGTAAATCAAACGAATAAATTGAACATTTGCAATAGGAAGTTTTGTTCACATAATTTCTCATTAGATTAAGTCAGATATTTTTTAGAGCAGTAAACCGATTAAGTAAATCGGTGTCTAGACTTAAACGGAACCTATTGTTTATACTTCCGGCGAAAAGAACATTTAATCACGTTTCTACTGGGACTGCATTTTTCTGATGAATACGCATATCTGAAATCGCGTACAGAATGGATGAAGAATAGTAGATTTTTCTCTGAAACTCTGAACATAGATGTTATTTCCGAGGAAAAAAGTCTCAGACAAAACAAGCACCGATGGCATTCAGTGTCAGTTTAGAGTTCTTCATTCCTTTTTCGCTCTATCATCTTATATTCAGCGTTACATATGATTTCATGCAACTCTATATTGAGCCTTTGTCGCCACTACAAAAGCTTTTTGAATAGTTTCGTGTTTCTTTTTGATATCCACCATGTAAAATGAATATTTCATAGAATTTTAATTCACTCTTTGTTGGTAGATTCTTAGTGTGAACGGACAATCGTTTGATTATCTGACAAATACTCGTGCATGGGAAATTCTTCGAAGTACAACTCATCTATCATTAATAGTGAAGAATAATCTTCTAGGTAAGAAACTTGAGATTTTTCTATTCAATATTTATTTCTATTTACAAAATTAATTAATATTCACAAATTTTCAAGTATAAAAAACCTGATCAAGTTAAAAAGAAAAGGAAATTAAAATAAAAAAATTACATTTTCTATAGGCCTGAATGAAATCGATAATCCAGAGAAATCACCTGCTCGTAAGAAACGTCATGATGTGTCCGCTTATGAACAAGAAATTCGAAATAAATTAAATAGCTCATCACCGATACGTTCTCACTTAACAACACCACAATCATCGCCTAGCCTACCGGTTAGTCCAACGGATTCTCATCATCAATCTCGACTACCATTAATATCAATCACTCCAACAAAAAATAATCAAACAAATTCGGAAAAATCAAAACCACGTCCACTAACGAAACGGATGGGTTTAAAACGAGCCGTTATGCAAAAATTGAAGATTACAAAAAATAACAGGTAACTAAACTTTTACATTGAACATTGGAGGTAAACGCCTGGAACTTCTCCAGCGACGATACCATATATATAAACCACACGATGAACTGATTGTTAGCATAATCCATACGAGTAATAGGTTAATATCTAAATTTGTACCAAGACAACCTAAAGAAAAACAAAATATAGAACGTAGAATTTTAAGATCGAGGTCTCTGCTGTTGCATTTTCAATAGTTAGCTGTTCTTAATTTTCACTATATCGTTTATAAAAAAAATCAAGGATTGAATTTTTCCCCGAGAGAACGCAATCGAAGAGAAAAAATACAGCTGAAGACTTCGGGCACGTTTTCGATTGTTTCTATATAAAATTTACGCTGATAAAACTAATTCACGAAAGAAACACAAATCTATAAGAATATATCCTACCGCTATACATAATAATCGACATGATATTAACCATTATCCATATGATATATTGCTCCCAATAGCAACCAATCAGTAAAATTTGACCAACAACATTTAAACTATTTGTTATTGCATCAAATACATGCGGTACGAAGCGTTTTTCAAATAGATAATCCTTAACTAGACGCTTCGAAAACATTGGAATTTCATAATAGAATATAAGTGTTAATAATACAGTTAAAACACAGACATATAGCCAGCCAATAGGTTTCAATGATTTAACACGTGTTGTTGATTTATCGTCTAATTCTTTTGCCCACAGGTATATTCCAACAAATTGTATCGGTAAGAAAAAGAATATAAATAATTGTGCATCACCAACATATCCATAAGCAAATGCGAAAGTTCCATATAAAATCGCACTGGTTATGCCCCAGAAAAATGAAGAAAATTTTCCATGCATAACAAGTACAACGTATAGAATCGTCGTGAATGCTGATATACCGGATAGACATAAGGAAATTCGACGCCATAATGGTATACCATCGTGGTAATCATTAGTCCATTTTAGTAGTGAACGTTTTTGTGAAAATAACGAATTGAAATCCTTTGAAAATATAAAATCATAGTTTTATTTTACTTTTTCAAAAAATTAATTTACCAATATAGAAAAAATAACATTGAATGTACCGAATAGAATAAATATTTTAATTTGCCAAGATTTTAAATCCTTCAAATCAGGGACTATTGATTGAAATACAAGTTTCAACTGTTGCGCATAACATTTAATAAATAAATAGAGGATTGACGAGTGTTTTTCTTCGTTAACTGGATTACTTTCAAAACTTTCATCTTCGCTAAAATCGGAGGTGCTGTTTGTTGGCTTGTTTTTTAGCAATATTTCGGTTCTATTTGTGTCTGCTGTTTCTAATTTTGTTGTATTCATAGCCGTCGAAGTCGACGGTTCAAAACGATAGAGTGATTTCTACTTCTCATGCAATACTAAAATTCGATTTAATATAAAATAAGCAATTGCGTCTGTTAAAGTTATGTGTGAAAATGTGTCAGCAAAACAAATTTATAAGGCGGAGCATTTTTTCCTCTTCCTTTTTCGTAGTCGGGTTGTGTCGACACGCTGAGAAATCGCAGAAAAAAGGAAGCATGGCAATCATAGGCTGAATGGAGAAATGAGAAGCACCGTATTGGTTGGAATACTAAAGATAGACCTACTGTATACTGGCGTTATCATACGAATGAATGTATGCACTAAAATAAACGGGACGATTGAAAATATGATTTTTTTTTAAACGGATAAGAAATACTTCTATCTAAAATATGCACTTATTTGCAAAATATTTTCAAACTAAGAGAAAATAAATTGATTATCTCAGTGAGTTGTGCTGTTTTTTGCAGGTTATTGATGCTTTAAAGCAAATCGGTGCATGAAAAAAAAGAGGATTGCCAATGAATGTGGTTCTCGTCTAGATGTCATCATTTTCTTTTTGTTTGTTTGTTTTGATAAAAATGTAGTTTAACAATACGAAGAGATAATATTTCGAACGTACCAAGGCAATAAAACCTCAAATATGAAAAAATTCAATCGTTCGCTTATCTTTTATTCTAACGAAAACAAATTGAATCGTTACGGCTGTTCCGTGAAATTTCATACTTACCAAAATATAAAACAAATTGGGACTTATCACATCGATAAAGATATTTCATATGTTGCGCTTGAATGCCTATAAGTTTTTAATTAGAAGAAAATCAAATGAAGCAATAGACTCTTTAATAACTTTCTATTTTTATTCCAGTGAACTCGATACAACGACAGCAGATAGCGAACTTGAATCAAGTGCACTATCAACATCAATTTCTAATAAAAGTTTTAATCGAAGTACAAGCAATCCAGATTTATCTCCATCATCGATCAGTAATAAATCGTTCTCAACGTCGTTATTAACAACATTTAATGGAACAATTAATGATGAAGATAATTCCACGTTTGTTGTTAAAGTCTATCGCAGTGATCAGTCGTACAAATATTTTCCCGTGCTTAAAGTGCGAAATTAAAATTAGTTTTTTAAATCACAACAAAAAAAACTTTTATTATTCTGTTCTAGGATACAACCGCTAAACAAGTTGTTATGCTGGCTATAACTGAATTTAGTATTGTCGATCAAAGCAGGTAGCTCTATTCATTTGATTGCCGGAGTTGGTTCATTTTCATAATTATGAGTTTTGATTATCTCGAAGTCGTTATTTATTTCATATCGTGCTCATTATTCTAGCATTTTAACTTCTCGTATAGAAATCGATCTATTGCGGTAAGAATTTTGGTCGCAGCGATGGGAAGCTCGTGGTTTTGTGTAATCTAATCGTTAGATATTTAAAAAATTTATACGCTCGTATGATTGTGTTTTTTTTCCGATTCTATTACGCAAGATTTTCTTTTCGATTTATCGCGAAAATAGTTTCTCGATCGTTGATTTACCGATGCTTAATATGTACATCATTATTTGTGTAAGCTACGCCTTCAGCATGCTTCGAGTGCTTTTGAAACAAAAATTATTATTGAAGCGAGATTCTTGTGATTGTTGACATTCCACGGGCGGAATATTTCAAGTGATTTATCAGAATGATGTGAGGCAATTCGGACTCGTATGCATTTGAGATTAAGATTTTTTGTTGCCGAGCGATTGCATTTCTACGATGTAGGCTAAATTAAAGCAATATTATTCTCCAGATACGCTAAAAAGCTGATTTTTCAACTACGACTGTATAATTATTTTCTCACGGAAAGAGTGAATGAGAAAAAATGAAACTGATGTAACATCTGTTACCATTTCATTAACTTAAAATATAACACAATAAGAGAATACTCTCGCCTGTTTTGCTGGTACTCATGACTCGTTGGAGTCTATGCGGTGCTCATCAATTTTCCCCTGTTTGAAATTTACAGCGAAACATAATGATGGGCCAAATGTAGTTCAAAAGGTTTATTCTTCTCAACAACCGAACCAGTTACACTCAGAATAGAGTTTACGTCTTTCTTTTCAAGCATTCGAACCATGCGCCTGTAAATATGGCGAAAGCTATTTCGCTGCTCAACAATCTTTTCACCGTCTAAAAGTACTCAATAATACTAATATAAATAATCACAGGAATTTGATTCCACTCTATCTAGACGTCAAACCGACATAATAAATAGTAGATGTACAATATAATTCATAATAACATTTATTAAATACGTAGTAAAATTCATATTTATATTCCCCATAGTTCATGTACATGTAGACATCGAAAAATCTAACGAGAGAAACAAAACATTCGTTATCATTTGATGTTTTCTTTCAGGTATTATTCATTGTGTGAAGTCTCTGTGGAAAATAATGTTATCAAACAAAAACGTCTACCAGATCATATTGATAATTTACCTGAACGTCTTCCAATAAATGCTCGTTACTATCTAAAAAATAATCTTTCAACTGAAACTCTTGTGCCGGATCATTTATCGAATGAATTCATACGTGAAGCACGTATTCATTTTCTTCAATTAGATGCTCTGGAAGTTTGTGCACAATTAACATTAAGAGATTTTTCTATGTTTAAATCAATTCAAGCAACAGAATATGTTGATCATATATTTAAAGTAAAATCACCGTATGGTATACCACATCTAGAGAAATTTCTTCGACTACCCAACGAAGAAACGTATTGGACTATTACTGAGATCATACGGGAAACTAATTTACTGCAACGATCAAAAGCGATTAAACATTTTATTAAAATAGCAAGTAAGACAAACAAAACGCGATGTTTTGAAGTATATAAAATAAATCTTGTTCTTCTGTTTAGAATCCTGTAAAGATATGAAAAATTTTAATTCGATGTTTTCAATCGTCAGTGGACTTGATCATAAAACTGTTCAACGTTTACAAGCTACATGGGAACGCGTACCGGAAAAATATAAAAAATTATTTGAGGTAAAGCAATACTCTTGAAAGTCTTGATACAACTATTGAATAGCGAACAATATTAGAAGCGGACCTATGAATTTTATGACAGAAATGGGAGAGTAATTATGAAACAGCTTTTAAATTTCAGGTAATATCCAGTCGTGTTTTAGTCGTGCGGTACAGCACAAAAGTAGTTCAGGACCTTTTGCATGACAAAAAGAGAAAAATGCAATTTATAGGAGAGAATATAAATAATTCAACAGATCCTGATCACCTTGGAAATTTGTTCAGAAAGACTTTACTGTCTAAAAAGAGCCGCACTGCATTCCAGACAACTTGAATCTATATCAGTGATACGATGGTACAACAATCAGTATATTTTTCTTTTTCTAGGAACTTAAATCACTACTTGATTTATCTCGAAATATGTCTGTCTATCGCAACTTATTAAAAAATGACTTAATTGTACCACCTATCGTAAGTGATTACGAATAAAATGATTAAAACAAATCCATTCTTAATTCTCTATTCATTTATAGATTCCCATGTTTCCAATTTGTATGAAAGATTTAACATTTATTAATTTGGGCAATCAATCAGACGATGATAATTTGGTAATAGAAAAGCTAACTGACTTTTCTTAAGAAAAATTTCTAACTGAACTTTTATTTTAGATTAATTTTGAAAAACTTCGTATGATTGCAAAAGAAATTCGCTATATAATGAATATGGCATCATCACCATATGTAAAATAAAAAAATTCGGACCGTTTATTAAACATAATTATATCGTTTAGGACATGTCAAATATGTTTGATTCGCCCACATCTCATTCGCAAGTTTTCGCTGGTTTTGGTCATCAAACAATAGCAGATTCATTTGGAACAATGCGGCGGCATCATACAGGCACTCGTTTATCTGCTTCTGCGAATGCTAAACGAATTTATGATGAAGTAAAATCGCGCGTACGAGAAAAGAAAAGATTTTATAAAAAAATTATTCTTTAGGCTTTAATGGTCAAAAAAGTGAAAGCATATTTGAATAATGCTGAAATAATTGAGGATGAAGATCGTTTAATTGCATTAGCCAATCAATGTGAACCTGGTAAGAAATATTTTTTTTTAAAGAAAACCTTCTTAAAAAACACATTAATTGTGAAAGTTTTAACTTTAACAGATTTTGATAAACATGAGATAGGGATGGATTTTCTTATTGAAGAAAATATAAAGATAATTATTTCTTTAGATTCTTTAGTAAATCTATGGACCTCTTCATCCATTGCAACATTTGTTGAATTTACATCGTTCGTTGATATGCACGCTTTAGAAAACAAAGGAGAAGATGATGAGAAACCTATTGCGACTACTGATAGTGGCGATTCGATGAATGCTGCATTATCTCGAATAAGAATACATTCGTCGCCATCAAGATTCCATTTTTTGAAAAATCCCTTTCGTCACAATGGTATCTTTCTAATCTTCTCTATCGCACTAAACATGAATCAATATTGATTGCTTTTGCTATTCATATCTATATATTCAAATCATTAGCGAATAAATAATTTTATTATGGCTTGATTTTAGCTGCTACACTTAAACGACGTCCATCTCCTTCAACTTCGAGTTTATCATCGAATTCATCTGGTGACCGTCGTACTGGCACCATACAATTAACGAAATTTGGTATGTAATTCGTCTTTTATTTTCAATTAAATTGCGATTTAAAACAAAAGCAAAGTGTTTTCTCTAACGTTTTTGTTTTGTTTAGAATATTATTCAGGTAAATGTAAATGTTGTTATATGTATTTTTTCCCCTGCCCATTTAAATATTATTTTTAATTTCGCTTCTTACTGTTGTCTACTAGTTGGAAAAGACAAAAATATTAAATTTTCATATTTCTTCTTATTATAGGCACACAATCACCGGACGCTGTGAATAAATTACTTCGTCTATCGGATAGTAGTCATCAGACAAAAGCTCGAGCACCAATAAAACCAAATCCTAATTCAAGCAGTTCAATTTTTCGAAACACATCGCCATTAAGAGGCAATCCGATGGCATCAACAGCGCTAACATCAGTTAGTGAAACAACCCAAAGTAATAGCCGTCGCCATCAACATATGAATAAAATGCGTGATGCAAATAAATTAACGAGTGAAAGTTCAAGTCTAAATTTTAAACCAGTATCATCAACAGTTTATGTTCGATCGCAGATCAGTAAGAAAAAATTTCGTAAAACAAAACAAAAATACATTTTCTTTTTCATTTTTAAGCATCAAATCCAAATAACAATGATTTACCTAAAAGTACTGATTCAGGAAATGTTAGTCCTCATTCAACAGATACATGTATGTATCAGTAAATATTAATTTCAATAATCGGAAGTATTTCTATTGTAGATATTGGTAGTGAGAAAAGTGAAAAATTCATTAATAGTTTAATATCTGATGAATATTCATCGATGAAAAATCGACACAATTCAATGTCAAGTAAGAATAAAAGTTTTGAATAGATAAATTTTAAGAGATTAATCTTTAGAAAATCAACATAATGACGATCCAAGACCGATAATAATACGTAATTGGATGCAACGATCGAAATCTCAAACTGAAATAAATGCGCATCCAGGTTTGTGCGGAATTATTGGAGTTGGAATTTTTTGTGAAATATCTTCTGAAAAACGAGTTGTGATACGGATCTTTCACAGAACATAATTTATCATTGCAGAGTAAAGAACAAAAAGACTTACGAGCTCTCGGCACCAAAATCCGTCCCGGAGTACAAGGGAAGTAGAGCTGAGCTATAGTTGTAGTAAATAAAGAAAAAAATAAGCGTTTTGAATAAACAGTTAAAATAGAATATCTAAAATCACTGCGACCCAACAAAGGTGATCTAGAAGATACTCATTTTAACGGCATTTTCCAAGAATTTATAGTCAGTATATAATAGGAAATAGTTGCTGGCATCCTGAAATATCATCATAATTAATGAATCTTCAACAAATTCCGATAGTCCTTCTTAATTCATATAGCACTTTCTGCTTGTGTCGTAATGTTTAAGAAAAAGTTCTATTCATCATCGAAACCAATATTGAAACTTTTTGAAGTAACTTCGTTTCATTTGTCACATTTTTGAAGAAACGTCATACATGCGTGTATCTTCTTTTTTTCTAATTTCTAGAAGAACCACCTGTCGACTACGACGATGCTGAACAAGTAACAGCAGTTTAAATTCATGTGCCTGAATGTTTGTTTAATTGGCCCGGTGCCTTTTTATTTTTTGTTTCTATAAACAGTAATCGAAACGTGGTCTACAACGAAAAAAACAACATTCATCAACATTGTACATTGTGTGTTTTGCATTTTCTTGTCTCTTGATTAGTTTTCTTATATTTTCCTACTGACCATCTTTGTGTTGGCCAACGCTCTGTTTTCGGTATCTTTCTTACTTTTGGTTTCTATTGCATCGATCTGATTCGTTTGCTTGTTTTTGTTCTACTTACATTGGGGAAATCGTAGCGATTAATATGTTAGACATATGTTATCTAAAATATTCATCCATTTTTTTTAACCAGATTTAACACTTTTGCCATACTACGAAATACTATTGTAAACTTCTCATTAGATGTCAGATGCGCCGCACTAATTGTTTTGTTCTTATTTTGCTTATTTGTCTCTTGAAGAGCAAGAAGAGTTAAAGGGAAAAAGCACATTCTCGTGTTCCTACCGCATCTCTTTTTAAGTTAAGATGGCTATTTGATATTGTTGTGAAACTTATATGTATCAGAAACTAAATGATATATCGTTTTTGAATTAAAACGAAACTAAAAACCATTACTAATTTGTTTTCCTTTGCTTTTTTCTTTTTGTAAATTTCTTCTTGAAATACACTAACATTTTTTTTTCTTCTGTATTATATCCTTGCTTGTTTGCTATCGATACAGCGAACTGTTACGAATATGATAACGTGTATACGTATATATATATATATATATTTGTTTAACTGATTTTTCTCTCGTTTTCTTATGTATATATATAATTATATAAACAAATCATGTTAATATAAAACCCTACGTAAAATGACTGTCTAACAAAGTAGGATGAGTCATTTTCATTAAACAGAAAAGAAAAGAAACAGCAAACACATCACCTGACTATGTTAATAAAGAGGTATCGTTCGATCGTCATACGAATTTGATTTTTCCTCAAGTCTAGAAATGTATTCAATATGTATTCTTGTGTTATTATCATGTTCATTCAATGACGTATGGGCAGCAACACCCTATCAAGCTTGTGATTCAGCATTTGGTACCATTCAAACATTTGATGTCACAGGTTGCACAACATCGCCTTGTAAATTTACTAAAGGTAATTCGTATGCAATGAATTTAACATTTCAATCAAAAGCCCCGTCGAATTCTGTTAAAGTTAGCATACATGGTAAAATGAGATACTAAAAAATATTTTCCCTTGTATTTTATGTTTTAACTGTTTGAAGGTGTTATTGCTGGTATTCCCATTCCATTTCCATTACCTGATCCAGATGCTTGTAAGCTGGGTATTGCATGTCCAGTGAATGAACATGATGTTTATACAGCGTCACTTGCACTAGAGGTATTATCATCGTATCCATCGTTGTCACTCTATGTCAAAATTGAATTAGTATCCGGAGAAAAAGATCAAGATTATGCTTGTCTACGATTTCCGGCTACAATCACAAGTAGTACAAATGAACTGAACAATTTAGTTGGTTGGGAAAAAGGAAAAATATTTGAAATATTGTATTAAAAAATCGCACAATTAGACTTAAAGGCTTTCAATCATTCTTTTAGAAGCTTAACTTGTGTATTATATTAAAATTTAAATAGAGCTTCATCTAGCAGTACTTTGTACGCTAATATTCTTTCTTTCAATAGCCAGTATCAAAGATTTTGAGTAAGTGGAGAGCATAGCTTCATGCATATAACACACTGGCAATTGTTTCATTCTAAATGACCTAGTAATTGAATATCATTCTATCTATTCGTAGTGTAATTGGAATGAAATTTGAAGCCACAATATAACTTCAATTTCTTCACACATATCTTGCTGTAGCTTACATAAATAAAAAAAACAACCGAAAACGAAAGAATCATGTGTACTGTGGGTTCATATTGTTTATGATCTTAAAAGCTACAAGCCGATATTTGATAAATTTATTAAATTACAAAAATATTTCATCCTGCCGTTAGTAGACTTTTTCCGTTGATAAAAACAAGGCAAACATATTTTTCGCCTAAAGTCATTTCATTATTCATTATATATATTTTTATTTTCACCATCTCATGTAAAACTTTTGATCCAAAAAAGTTACTAATAAATACTTTTAATATTTTTTCATCTAGTGCAAAAAATACTTATAAGTGAACCTTTTTAAGTGACTATAACCCAGGTCGAACAGTCCGGCCTGGAAAGGGCCGGTTCCGGATAGTTTCGTTGATTTTGTGGAAGCAGTATTCCAGTTGGAAAATTTTCAGATTTTTTTCCGGTGATTTCCGGTCAATTCCTGCCGGAAAGCATCGGAATTTGGCAGAAATCGGCCGAAAAGTCTGGTTGTATTTTTGACCGCAATACTGCTTCCATGTTCCAGCGATTTTCCGTGTTTTCCTACAGGATATGGTGAATTCCCAGCATATTTCCTGGAGTATCCTACGGAATCCGGTAGCCGGAATGTTCGGCCTGGGAAGTATACTTATAAGTAAAAAGTATACTTTTGAGTATTTTTCAAAAGTAATTATTAGTACTTTTTACTTATAATTATACTTATAGTCACTTAAAAAGGGTCACTTTTAAGTAATATGTCTACTTTATCGCTTCTCGAAGAACTTAAAAGTACTTTTGATAGCAATTATTAGTACTTCAAAAAGTACTAAAAACTGCTTGCGTAATTATACTTTTAATTAATACAGTAACTGAAGTACTTAGTAGTAATCGATATGCAGCACTTGCAAAATTTACTTCGAAACAATAAAAACGCTCATGACTAACTGAGACACATATTTTTCAGTGAACACTACTGAAATTGGTGACTATCTATGTAGTTATCCACTTCCAACCAAGTTTTGTCCACCATCTATCTCGTATGATACAGATGTCAAGGTCGCACATGCTGGCTTCCATCACTATGCAATATTCTATAATAAATACAATGAGAAAAGAAAACAAAGTATGTGATTTGGTGAACGTGCTAAATTATCAAATACTAAGTGCATTTCAAGGAACAAAAGATGAAATGGCATAAAAGAATATATCACTCAACGTTGATTAATTCTTAAGAGTATGCCTTAAAATATGAGAAGTTTGATGAAAGAAATCGCGTTAACTAAAATTTACAATAACACTATATATATATTATTGGCCGAATTTCGTGTCTATATGACAGAAAAACAGATGCTGATGGGAAACAGTGAAATGAAAAGTAGATAGTAATAGCTATTTGTAGGCGGTAACGAATGACTACCCAAGTCGAACATTCCGGCCATCGGATTCCGTAGAATTCACCAGGGAATACGCGGGAAAGTCACCATATCCTGCAGGGAAAAGCAGGAAATCGCTGGAACATGGAAGCAGTATTCCGGTCAAAAATACGACCGGACTTTTCCGGCGAATTCCTGCCAAGTTCCAGTGCTTTCCGGCGGGAATTGATTTGAAAAAATCCGAAAAATTTCCAACCGGAATACTGCTTCCACAAAGTCAACGGAACCGGCGTTTCCAGGCCGGACTGTTCGACCTGGGTACTAACAATGGAGGTGCTTGTACTGTCCGTGAGAAAAACGGGATATTTTCGGATCAAATGAAAGCTCTCATAGCCAAACTGACAAGGTTAAAATATTAGCTGCTATTGGCTTGTCTAGACTGAGATATTCGATTTTTCAGTGGATTTTCTCTAGAGGACCGGCTATCCCAGCAATATCATATTTTTGAACTTGAACCTGAAACTATTTATGCATGAAGGTCTCAAGGAGACTAGCTTACAGAAAACAAAAATCAGAAGTTTTGGTCAAACCCTCTTCGAAATATAGGTGTCTCAAGCATACAGCGTCTATAGAAAATTGGCTATATTTTGAGAGATTCATATCTCGAAGAAGGTTTGACCAAAANAGATCGTTAAAATCAGTAATTAATCATTTTTGAAAGAAATTCATTTCCGATACTCGCATAAGTGCAACAATTACAATGGAAGTAAACTCTTTCAATATGAAAAATGAACTTTATCAAGTCAAATACCGGCAGCCCAGGGTCACTTCCCACCACTGTAAACAGTAGCAGGTCCCTGTAGAAGTTCGAAAACTCCCCCGGCAGGCATAGCGGTTGTTCGTGGCGTGCTACAATCAATATAGAATTTAGTCGCTTGAGAACAAGCCGATTGCGTCATGGAGATATGTCCAATAAGAAAACAAAATAGCAATTATCATTTCATATTATTGATTTAAGAAAAATAAATCTCTGCGATGAAATTTTTGTCGCTGAATGCAAGATTTTGTCAGTGATGATTTCTAATAAATGCAATAGTATTTATTTTTCTATTTCATATTTTCAAAAGATCGTTAAAATCAGTAATTAATCATTTTTGAAAGAAATTCATTTCCGATACTCGCATAAGTGCAACAATTACAATGGAAGTAAACTCTTTCAATATGAAAAATGAACTTTATCAAGTCAAANCCCCCCCCCTCCACCTCAGGGATGGTCTGGCCAATAATGACAATTTTTTCGATAACTCAGCCATTTCTTGACGGAACCTTCTCATCTTCGAACTCGACTGAGATATTGATGAGATCATTCTGTGTACAAAATTTCATGACAATTGGATGAGGCTTTCAAGAGTTATCGTGTTAACGACCGGACGGACACACTGACCGAATTTAGTGTACTCACTTTTTGAGTACACAAAAGCACAAGAATCATATGTCGTGAATTGTTCTTTAATAAATCAAAAAAATGTCAAGATGATACTTCAATTATTACTCAAAATGAAATACGAACTTCATTCATGTAGGCTAGAGCTCATCGACATATCATTAGTAATATATTGTTACTTAACCAATAAACGATTAATATTTTGCATGAATGATTGTTCACACATTCTTTTTTTTCTCTTTTCGCAATAAGTCCAATTATTAAATTAGCTTAAAATAACAATAGATTTCTAAAAATCACGATATTATATCTGACTCTTCGGTTAGACAAATATTACAAATTCTCTTTGATTACAACACGAAAATACGCAATCGACTATTTATGTCATGTTGTAACTGACGTGATTATACAAGAATTTCCACCGAAGAATGAATTTGATGTTCTGTTTCTTGAAAGCGATGCTTCAAGCAGTTGCATTCAGTAAAAAGAAAAGTTTTCTTCAACGTTACAAACAACATCAGGATATGCAATTATAGTTTTAACCGATGTAATCGATGAAGCAAATGAATGGTCTTGCAAGAAATGATGAGGTTTCTTTTTTTCTTTGTATAAGTTCGGCAATCGTCAACAATATTGACGAAGAAAAAAAGAAGGAAATAGTTATGTGTGACATATAACTAACTGTAATAAACAGAAAAATTCTTTTCTTTCTTATCCTTGTGAAAGAAAAAGTCGAGAAAACAACTAGTAACAACATTTTTCATCCGAATGTTAAATAAACAAGTATAACTGTTTCAATATCTATTAGATAAAGTGATCATCTGTAGGATAAGTGGATCCTATTAATCTAGATTAGAATATCCTTGTAAAGAATTGCTATGTCAAGAGTTGTATGACTACGTAATGATGTTTTGCTGATAACTTCTCCTTTTATTTATAACTACAACAACTGCGCTACATTTAAAGCTTAAAGTTGTTCTCTTTAGCATAAACGGATAACGAAAGAGACCGAGAAAAAAAGGCACGAACACCAACCTAATTCGATTCAGTTAATGTCTCTTAGTCTTCGCTCGGCATATCGGCAACACAAAGCAAGGATGATGACTTAGCGGGAAAAGACGATCGTCGATGCGGGTACAAGAAGAAAAAATAATAATGGAAAAAGAGCGAAAGAAGACTAGCAATCCTGAACAGTAATCATTGAACGTCACTCGCATAAGAGTCGCCTGCCGTCAGCCGAAAAAAGAAAATATTAGTACTGCAAAGTCTATTATTTATAGATAGCGCGATCACTAAAGAATCAAATCAGAATCGTTACATTCATGTTCGATGACTAGTAAATAAGTTCTATGCGTAATTGAATGGTAAAGATAATTAACTATCAGATAATCATTGATTAAATAAATAAATGTTATTTTTTTAGGCACATTGAATTTTAATTTTTTATCATACCAAACAAAACGATGAAGTATAGCAATGGCTCATGGTGCTCAAACAACATATGAGTTTTAAATTTTGTTCTTTATTATACAAATCAATGTTATTCTTACGTCATGTTCTTATAAAAACATTCATTCTTAATCTCTATTTGTTGCCTTGCTATTATTATCTCTTTTTATTATCTCCATGTTTGAGCAGCTTTCTAACCTGTCTCGTTCCGGAACAAATCAATTTTTAATCCATATTTTTGTCATCATATGTCTATCTAGTACCGTCCCACATTCTCATATTGTTATGTGTTATTTTAATCGTCTATCAGGTAAAGAAGAGTTTTGCTTTTGAATTAAAATATCTGTACTCAAATCAATTTTGTGATAATTATTAAGATTTCTAACGAGTGTACCAAACATCTCTAGAGATCGTCTGCCATTCGCTTTATGCTTAGATACCATTGATTGAAGTAGCAGAGGCAATTTTTTCGAGTACCAAAAGTGTTTTTCTTATTATTACTAGAACTAAAATGCTCAATTATGTATCGCTGAGTGTTATTTTTTTTTCTTAATTTTTCTAGCTGTTTCACCTGTGTCTGATGCTGAAATAGTTATTGGAGCATTTTTTTCTTTGCATCATCCTCCTACTTCCCATGGAGGTGGACGATTACGAGAATGGTAAATAGAATATTCTTTAAACATTAGAAAAACTACTATCCGATTATCGATTATTTAGTGGCGACATTCGGGAAGATTATGGCATACATCGTGTAGAAGGAACTTTTTGGATTCTCGATCAAAGTAAAACAAGCATTATTTTTTATTTTCATAGATAATAATTACTATCATTATTTTCCTAGTCAATGCGAATCAATCCATATTACCCAATATAACAATAGGGTATCAAATTCGTGATTCATGCTGGTATGTACCGGTTGCACTCGAACAAACAATTGAATTCATTGGAAATTCGGTCTTGAATTTTGGTGATTCACCGGTGAGTACGAATGGTGCAGGTCGATCGCGATTAGCAGCTATTATTGGACCAGGTGATAGTTCGATAACAATGCAAACGCATAATATTTTGCAATTATTTGAAATGCCACAAATTGGCTATTCAGCGACAGCTAAACAATTGAGTGATAAGGAAAAATTTAAATATTTTACACGAGTAATAGCATCGGATACGCAACAAGCACAAGCAATGGTAGATATTATTCGGCAATTTAAATGGAGTTATGTTGCAACAATTGGCACTGAAGGTATGATCACAATAAAAGAAAAATGTGGTTCTCTTGTCTTTTGAAATAATTAATTAATATTTCTATTTAGGTGATTATGGTCGTGGAGGTGTTGAAGCTATTCGTCGTTTACTGAAAAAAGATGCATGCATTGGAGCAGATATTACAATGGTAAACCGGATGATTTGTTTTGCAATTGAACTTTTTTTTTAAATTTTATAGCCCATTGGTGCAAATGTAACAGTGGCTACTCAATTAATAACACAGCTTGTTACTCGAGCTCCACGTGTTCAAGTACTCGTATGTTTTTGTCTAGATCATTCGGTTCGCGCTATTTTACAAAGCATTAAAGAATTAAATTATACTCAACGATTTATTATTCTCGGGAGGTAAATTGAATCATCAAATGATGGTGTGTTTTCTTCGTCTTGATTTTGATTTTAGTGATGCTTGGGCTGATCGTTTGAATGTTATACCAAACAACACAGAGAACGTAGCATTAGGTGCTATTACAGTAAGAACGAACATATTTTTTCCATGTCGTATATGATGCTGTCTAGAGACAGGCTGATTATACAGATAAATATGTCTTATTACTAATAATAGCTCTAGTACTGAATAGAAAGCTAATCGGATGAATGATTTCATAATTCTATCACGAGAGCTCCCTTGATTAATCGTCCACTCATATATATCGCGAATCACTTCACGGTCGGCGATACTATCATTTTGAATATATCAATTATTGTATGTCTGCTGCAAAATAGAATGAACAGCCCAGAGCCATAAAAAAGGATGGTAACTGTATTTTATCCGATGAAAAAGTGAGAGACGTTCCGAAGTACTCTATAGTTAAATTTTTAATTTATAAAAAAATGTGAAAACGTACATGCCTTAATTTTTATACTTTGAGAATGTTTTCAATTCGATGCTCCTTTGAATCACTATGCTGGTAGTTACATTAAGCGAAAGGGTTATAGAGAGAGAGAGAGTGCTCTCTCCAAGGGGGAAACGGTGGATTTTTGGGATTTTAAATACGGCAAATCTCAAAATTGAAAAGTATTTTCCCCTGTCAATGACCTGAAATTCTTCCCATATGTAGATTTCATGGTTCATAGAGGATCCTAAAAGTTTCAACCTGAACAAATTTTTTCTTCTTTAAATATTGAATTTTCAAAAAAAAAGGGATTTTCTGATTGTGCTGTGAAATGTGCGTTTCTTGCGCATTCGTTATCTTAAGAAGGAAACATCCGTTTACGCTGAAAATTCCATCATTCACGGTTTAGATTTTAAAAATCCCAAATCCGCCCTTTTCCCCTTGGCGAGTGCGATCCTTGCCATTATTATTTGTTATGAATATCCCATAACAGTCAATCTAATTTTTGAGAAAAGTCTATTCATATTGCACAAGCTTTCTCTCTGTATATGAATAGATCAAAGCTCGTTCATTACGTGTACCTGGTTTCGAACAATATTTTCGTCACTTGCATGTATATAATAATACACGAAATGTGTGGTTTCCGGAATATTGGCAACAAAAATTTGGTTGTTCTTACGATTATCATAATCCTTATTCTACCCGATCATCGAAATATTCACGGCAATGCCATCCAGAAAATGAAAGTCTCGCTAGAGTACCCTATAATGAAGATCCAAAACTTGCATTTGTTATCAATTCAATATTAGCTGTCGTACATGGTCTAGATAAAATGCATAAACAAGTAATTTTAAAACGAATATTATTTCTATTGGGCATTGAAATTTGAAAATAGATTTGTAATGGTTCAAGTGGTCTATGTGCAGAAATGGCTCGTATGAATACATCATTATTAATGCACTTTTTAAAAAGTAGTCGGTTTACAGGCGTAACTGGTAATATGAACAAAAACAAAGCAGCAACATTTGTCAAAGGAATATTTTCTTGTATTCTAGGCGAAGAAGTATTTTTTGATGAAAATGGAGATGGCCCTGGAAGGTATATAGTGTACAAGACTTTTTGATTGTAGAGTCTAATTTTTTATTGATTTTAAGATATGATATTCTAAATCTACAATCTAATGTAAATGATGTGGAACATCCGTTACATTACGTACAAGTAGGAACATGGAGTACTGGAAAGTTAACTCTGAATATATCATCAATGCGTTTTTTCGCCGATCAACGCTCGTTGGACCAAATAAATATTTCCCGACCTTGTAGTGATGCTTGTCCAACGGGCCATATCAAAGTTAGTTTCGTTTTTTTTCTCATTACTCGTTTTTTTCGAAGATTGATTTCTTCTAGAAATTTACCGACGAGGAACAATGCTGCTGGAAATGCCATCATTGTGTCGACGCTATTATGCTGGATGATACAACATGTTTTACTTGTCCAAGTGGATTTTTACCTAATCCTAATCAAACAGGTTATTGTCATAGAAATAAAGTTATAAATGTGTACAGTAAAATTTCACCTCAGTAAACACCTAGGGGAGATTTCTAGGCCGGACACTTGATGGCGATATCTGCCGTATAGTTTTCTTTTATGGATATCAATCACAAACATGTTTTCCGCAAACTGCATCATAGAAGGCGGAATATGGGTGCTGTTAGTGTGAAAAGTTACACTCACACCCTGAGAAAAACTCTTAAAACTATCCTGAAAGTAGTCGGAGGTGAATCTCTCCATACTTTACTTCTATATAGTACCTGTTGATTTTCAAAAAAACATCGTCTTTCAAAAGTTACATTTTGAAGGAGAATATTAAAGAATTCTGAAAAAAGAATAGATTTAATAAATATAATCTTTCTACGTATTACTAACAACAACGGCTACGTAAAGACTCACGTTTTAATCTGTTACGAGTTGCATTGAACGCTTTCTTTTCTAGCTTGCGGTTTATTACCAATAACAACAATAAATTTCCGTCATCCATTATCAATCATTATATGTTTTGTAGCTGGTATTGGTATTCTAATAAGCTTCTTTGTTGTCTATATATTCGTACGTTTCAATGCTACGCCGGTTGTTAAATCCACAACACGTGAATTGAGTTATTTGATTTTAATGGGAATATTATTTTGTCATTTGACAGCATTTGTTATTTTACAAAAGCCATCATTTATTATTTGTGTTTTAACACGTCTATTACCGGGCATATCATTTTCGATGATATACGGTTCATTGGTTACGAAAACAAATCGCATAGCAAGAATTTTAGCAAGAAGTAAAAAGAAAATTATAACAAGACGATTGAAATTTATGAGTGCTAGGCATCAACTTGCAATTGCTTGTTTTATACTTGTTACCGAAGTTACAATTGTTGGTAAGCTATCTGAATAGAATGTGCCCTTTGAACTAATTTTAATGATTGTCTTTTTCTTCTTCTATTCAGCTGTTACTGTTTACAAAGATCCACCGAAAGCAGTATTGATCGAAACTGGCGGACGTTTACTATTGACATGTAAGATTACTTTTTGAATGAATATGTCTTATTTCTATGATTATACGATACAAATGATTGAAACAAGAAAGACAGGAGCATCTAAGAATTGCTCATACTTCAATTCATTATAGTAATTCGTTAGAAAACATGCCAATCATGAAATATGAGATAGAGGATCGTACAACGATATCCATGTGTGTATATGAAGAAAGAAAAGTCCACATAATGAGAAGACAAAATACTGTCGAATATGAAACATGTGATTAGTTAATGAAGTGTAGAAAAAATAGAATACACACGAATGCTGTTTGATGTAAATGTCAAACTTTTAATTTAAGAAATTCGCAAACACAAAACAGTATTACTCATGACTTCAGATGCAGTAGTAAATATTTCACCCTGTATGAATTGTATAATTGCTGATGTGGATACTGTTATTGCTCTTCTTTTTATTCCTTTTAACTCCATTTTCAAACTTTATTTCAATTTGAATCGACAAGAATCAAACAAAACAGAAAAAGAAAAAAAGACACACATCTGAAAACGTATATCCCTGTTTATATTCTCCTTTCATACGTTCTCCCCCTCTCATATCTCATCACATACCGATGACGTTTCTTTTATTGCATAGGGATAAATTTAGTACATGGAGAGAGACAAGAGAGAGAAAAAAGAATGTCAAAGAATGTAATGAATGGCACCATAACGAAACAGAAAGCAGAATATAGAAGATATATCCTAACTAAATTTATATCATGGCCATCGGTCATAACAGGTACTCATCCGATTCAATATCCAGCCAACATATTATTTATCACTAGACAATTCGTTCTCTAGTTAAAATTAGCTAAAATTCAAGTCTGACTGAACTAACGGGCCCAAACAAAACACTTCAATTACTCTTCATAGGCGTAGCTTAAAAATTGTTATTCGGAAAAAGACTAGAAATATCTGAACTAAACTAACTGCTTCGAACTTAATCCAAAAACATAATACCAAAAATTTGGTTCGATTCGATATCTCAATCGATGTCTTTTTGAATGTGATCTAATTGACTAATAGGTAAAAAATCACTTCAAGGGATTGCCGCGCCACTTGGTTTCGATGGTCTACTGGTCTTTCTATGTACACTTTATGCAGTAAGTTTCTCTATTTTTCGTTTTTGTTTTTATCCGTTGAATTTTCTTCTTGATTTCAGATTAAAACAAGAAATTTGCCAGAAAATTTTAACGGTAAATTCAATTTTGACAAAAATCGTTTAGTTTCACTCTCAATTTTTCTTGTTGAATAGAAGCAAAATTCATTGGTTTCTCAATGTATACGACCTGTGTTATATGGTTAGCATTTGCTGCTGTATATTTCGCTATTGACATAAAAGTATTTTCATTATGTGTCGCTACAAATGCAAGCGCATATGTTATACTAATATTTTTATTTTTTCCGAAGCTCTATTTAATTATATTTAAACCAGAAAAAAATCATCGAAGGTAAGTTTTACTACAAAACAAGCTGGTTTTTCTCTTATTCTCTTTAAATTTTAAATTTATTCAATTTTAGTGCATTCGCTACAAACACAGATATTCGCTGTCATTTTGGCTCATCGACAACATCGAAAAGCGACATATCATCTTATCGTTATAGTGAAGGTTCATCATTGTTTCGTCGTTCTGTTTTACATCGTATTCGTTTTGGTAATACATTACGTTTGAAAGCTGAATTTGTTAATTCAGCTGCATCATCACTGCGTACGAACGATCTACTTGGCAGCGATCGTCGTCCATCAAGCTCATTATCGGCATATCCAGATAATTGGATGTATCATCATCAACATCGACGTTTATCAGGTTCACCACAAGCACCATTACCTGCATATAGTTCCGATGATTTACCATATCCTCCACGAATATTAAGTCAAAAAACGCTAGACAATATCCCTGCAGCATTAGGCATTGATTTACCTAATGTATCCATTACGTCGTTAGATCCTTCGAATAATAAGAGTGAATTAGAGACAATGGAAAAACCAAATGTGACTCAAAATCATACATCCGATTGCATTTGCACTACGAATCAATCGAACAATCATAAAAACGATATAATAGAGTACATACGTAAAAGCACAAAGAAAAGAAAACGCATAAAAGCCAACCATGATTTAGCATCATCGATGAAAATAGTTGATATTGAAACAGAATCATCAACTGAATCGGCACATGAACGTATGGGAACAACGTCAACAACAGCCAGTTTAACATATTCTAAACCTGATTGTACATGTCAATTATTATGGCAATTAGAACGCGATACAGATAGTATTGATAAATTTAAATTATTGTTTAAACGCGATCATTTGAATGTCGATTGGGATCATGTACAAGGCTCTAGTGAAGTTTAAATGATTGACTTCCATCCATTGAAGGAAGCAAAAACATTACATATCAGTTTTGTTTTTTGTTTATCTATATGTAAATGTAATATGTGTTTTTATTAGGAGAAAAAAAAAGCAATTTATCTACAAATATTCATTTTATATCAAATATCTCTATAAGGCGAAATTTAAAGTTTGAAGTTTATAATTAAAATCAAGAAGAAAGGTCCTATGATCTATCTCTGCTCCTTGGTAACTAACAAGAAAATTGATTAGATGAGGTTGTTGTATCATTCGTATTTCAAAAGAACCAGAAAATAAGATTGAAACTGATTTAAGAACTGGAGAGATCTAGCAAATAATGTACGATGACTACGATACGCGAAGCGTTAGTTCTTTTCTTGTGATCGCAGTAGAAGATTACAGTTCATCCTAACGCACTTGGCAACAACAAATTTATATGCTTGATAATCCGATTTTTCGTGTCGCTTGCGTCACTTGTAAGTCTAGACATCTTTAATACGATGAAAATTTATTCTGCTTGATATCTTTATTTTCACATATTATTGAATATATTCTATATTTGGCTTTTTTTTCTATTCTTTGCATAGCTACATCTCTCGTCATGGTGTATGCTCTCCTTTGTCTCGTAAAGTATTTCACTCAGACGAATAGAGTCGGTTTTTTGAAATTTCATCTAATGATTTGATGTATGCTGTAAGAGATTAGTTAAAACATAGATTTCGAAATTCTATCAATTAAAGAAATTGGTATTTGAATAAATAGAAAATATTAAGTAAACGAAAAAAAAAAATGTCAATACGCCGAAGCATAAAACCATGTAGATTATTTGTGTTCGTTGAAGAAAGTGCGGTTTGAGTTGTAGGATGATGCTGTGTAGAAAACGACCAGTGTTCTTCAATAAACTGTCATATTGAATATATTCATTCGTGCTTCAATTGATGTATGATTTCGTTCTTTTACTGAGAACACATGATTTCTTGAAGTGACTTGTGATTTTCAGCTTCTTGCCTTTCACAAGTCAAATCATAGACAAGCACATTTTTTCACGATCACGTCTTTTACCGGATAAATTTCCATCGATCCGTCGGTTTGTCGAAGAAGAAAATTATCATCAGAAAATTGCGATGGTACACAAGTTCGTTGGGGAATTTTCGAAACTTTTTTACTTATAATCGATTGTATCAATGTATAAATCGATGGTTGCTGCAATTGTTGTTGAAATGTCAAATCTGAGCATGAACCATCGCAATAAGTGAATGTATATTCTTTTGGTCTAATAATTAAATAAGCTAAGCCGAGTTCTTCAAATGTAATTTGAATCGTTCTGATTTTACACATTGTTGTTGGTTGCAGGTCATATGAAGATGATGTAGTAGAATTTGATGACGACAGTATTATATACGTATGTGATGTTTGACATGTTTGATTCTGAATAGCTGTTTCAATAATTAAATTTTGATTATTAATGCGTAGAAAATAATCATAGATATTAAGAAAATAAAGATCTCGAATAGGATCGACTTGTAAATATGTATCAATCGAAAATAATTCCATAGATGTTTGTGGTTGTTTAATGGAAATGTGTATTGGTATCGGGGATTTCTTTAATTCAGTTCTATCAATATGATAAATGAGTTCGATAGAAGATAACAATTCTAGTTTGAAAGACGATTGAAATGTTGATTGAACTTTTCTATCATTTAAGTTTAAACAATTTATCGAATGTAATGCTAATCTGGGAGTTGTAGCGAATGATACATTTGCTATAAATCTACGTTTTCGATTTTTATCTAGAGAATACAAAAGAGATTTTCGAAAAACAAAAATTCAATTATAAAAATACGAACTTTGTTCTAATTCAGTTGCTAAATGATGATTTTTAATCATGGATTGTATTAGTGACGAATGAGAAATATTCAATAAATCAATAAAATATTGTCGTAGGAAAAAATTGCGATAATAACTATTTGATATTAATTCCAAATGATGATAATTTGACGATGGCACTGTTGTTATTGGTGCCGAACAAGTAGATGAACATGAGAAAATAATGACAATAATAAGTAAGATAAGTTCCCAAGACGTTTTCGTTTTGTTGACAATATTAACAAAATTTGACAATAAATATTCTTGAAACATTACACACTTGCAATCATTAAAAATCAACAGCTACTGTAATGATCTTGTTGACAAAATTTTTGTTAATATAAATAAATCTGTATTTATCACGAAAATAATCGTAGCTGTAGCGAACAAGATTATAATTTTGGTACGAATCAAAATTCTTTAACGTTTTAGGCGAAGATAATATGTTTATATTCTTAATTCATATCGAAATAGATATGCAATAAATAATTTTAATGCATAGATATTTAATAGTTTTGTCTGGAGGAGAACAAGTATAAAAAAAAACAGATTTCCACCGCGAAAATACACCATTACTGTTTAATCTTATCACATGAAAGTTTGAAGCTGTCTGGTATATCTATGTGCAGCTATTCAAAAATGCCAAATCCTTTTTGTTATTATTCATAATTCAGTCTTGTACAACTAGCATTCTACCAGCTTGAAAAAATATATTCGTCTCCATTCAATTGGATGCAAAGTACCCGAGAGAAAAAGAACCATGTACTTAAAAGCAAGTGTTCTTTCTCGCTAGTCCGTTAAACTTAATGTTGCTCGGCACGTGCATCAATGTTAGACGTTATAAATATTTTAGATTCATACTTTTATAAAAATAAAACAAAAGCAAATATTGAAAAGCAACAAGACAAGTCTATCATTAATTTCTAAGTTAAATAGTGATAGTTCGTTTGATGAATTTTATCGACTTTTTGGATGTAAAATGCACTTAGGCATGTTCTTGTATCATTTGTTCTCTTGTGTAACATTATCAAGATTACGAACAGTTGAAAACAATCCTTTGCCAGTATGGGTAAAGGTGGTACCAAAAAATAAACAACATGGATTACTCCGCTGTATGCCTTAATACTGAATTAGTGTCTATATGTGGACAGTTTTGTTATGAAAACTAAACGTGAAAGCATTTATACTCGCCAAGAAGAAAGTAACTAGTTATTCTTATGTAATAGAGCCATTGTAAATAAGTCTAGAATTCGAGTCTTCACTGGTGTATGTAGGTTTGGATTATTTTCATTTATACACAAAACAAAAACATTTGTAACTATAGAACAATGAAGCATAGACGTCAACATTCTTATTTCAGTATCATAACAGAGAGAAAAAAATTTAGCTAACCGTTCTGTTAATGTTATTAATGAATGATGTACAGATGAACCACGTGAAATACATGCTTTTGGTTGACTACAAGGAATGCAGGCAAGACGCTTTGCTTCTTTTGTGCATGTAAGACACAAATTCAATGTTGATGCACTTGTACGCGTCTCACTGATTGTTCCATTTGGAATGATACTGTGCTGTTTCAGGTCATCAATATGTTTGATATGATTTTGAAGAATCGTACAAACTACTAAAAGATCAACACCATCGATAAAATCATCATCTAAAATAAATATTTAATAAAATTAAGTTACATTTATTTTATCTCAATGCAACAATATGACGAGAACCTATCTTACTTTTTAAGTAGTATTGATCTATATAGCAACGTTCAATAATTGATGAGGAAAAACCTCGAGTAATTAAACTTTTTGAAATAGGTAAATCAAGGCGACTTTGAATGCAATACGATAGAGTCGATTCACCATTATCATTCTTGCATTTTAGCATGTAATAGTAGCTGTTATTTTCATTCTGATTTATCGAATTATTCATTCTTCTTTTGGACTCTTGAATTGATCGATATAAATTTGCACCACACAGTTGTTTAGCATATGCGTAGTGGCATCGTTAGGGTGGGGGCCAGGTGAGACTCAACCTCAACACCGTGCTCGTGAGTCCCACCACCCTAAATTTTCTGGTGATGCCACTATTTCAAAGTATCCACAGCTTATGAAGAAAAAAAAGCACTTGAGATACATTTAAATTTTGGTAAGAATATTTTAGATAAAATATTTCGATTGGTTGAACAGAATTTTATCAACAGTATAAACAGTTCATAGAAAAGGACGTCAAACAACCTGAAGAGAAGATCGATCTATCGAATATGGACCAAATAGCGCCATTATTACCTTCAAGCTTTAATCCTACGACTGGATGAGATACTTTAAGAATGATCGATACATTGTCTGTTAAACAGATTGCTGCATTGAGCGAAGGTAAACTTTAAAATATTTTAGTTAATCGAACATCTCTTTATATATATATTATTGTAGTTGTATTTGGTATCGCATCTGAAGCTAAATTTGATATTTATGATGATAAAAATGTACAAATATTGCACGCTTTAGAAAGTAACTTAATAGAACTTTGGTAATAATTTAAAATTTTTGAGTTTTTTTATTCAAAAAGCTTCGACATTTGGCAACGTTTTTGTTGTTCACCTAGACGGCGTTTCACATTACGTATTGCTGATACCAGAGATGGACGGGGCAGCTAAAAAGTCGCCTCGCCACCGCACCGCCACCATCTATTTTTTAATACTGATTCCGCCACCGCCCCGCTTGTAAAATACATTTTAGGAAGCAAGTATTGATAGTCACCTTCCATAATTTTTATTTTATTGCATGCCATCAAAAGGCATAGCCCAAATATACATACTTTCACAATAGAAAAATATAATAAAAATAGAAAGATACAATAATAATAATAATAAATGCGGAAACAT